TTGTTTAATTTGATCAATTATTAGTTTTATTAGTTAATTAATTATAATTTAAATTTAATCAAAATTATTTTTTAATTAATTAAGTTAATTTTATTTAAATCTAGGTAATTAATTAGGTTAAATATATGTTTATTTGGTTGAATTAGACTAAATTTGTCAATTAATTGTGATTTTATAAATTAATTGTTTACTTTTTCTTAATTAAGTTATTTTTATTGTTATTTTAAATTTAATTTGGTTAGAATTAGAGCTAATTAAGTTAATTCGATTTATAATTAATTAATTAATTAATTTGGTTAAATATGTTTAATTAGTTGAATTATAAGTTTGTCTATATTAGAAATTGTTAATTAATTGTTAATTTAAATTTAATTTGGTTCGAATTAGGATTAATTAAGATAATTAGATTTATATTTTTTTAATTAATTAGGTTAATTTTATTTAATTGGTTGAATTAAAAATTTATTTATATTAAAAATTGTTATATAAAATTTAATTTGGTTAGAATTAGAATTAATTAAAATAATTAGATTTATATTTGTTCATTAATTAAGTTAATTTTATTTAATTGGCTGAATTAAAACTTTAGTTACATTAGAAATTGTTAATTAATTCTTATACAAAATTTAATTTGGTTATAATTAGAATTAATTAAGATAAATTTATTTTTATTTATTTAATTAATTAAGTTAATTTTGTTTAACTGATTGAATTAAAATTTTATTTATATTAGAATTTTTTAATTACTTGTTTTATTAAATTTAATTTGGTTAGAATTATAATTAATTAAGTTAATTTGATTTTTATTTAGTTAATCAATTTGGTTAATTTTATTTAATTAGTTGAATTAAAAATTTATTTATATTAAAAATTATTGATTAATTGTTGTATAAACTTTAATTTGATTAGAATTAGAATTAAGTAAGTTAATTATATTTATATTTAATTAATCAATGAGTTATTTTTATTTAATTAGTTGAATTAAAACTTTATTTAAATTAAAAATTATTAAATTAGGTTAGATGTAAAATTAATTACTTTAATTATTTTGTATACATTTATGTTTAATTGTTTTTAGTGACACAACCAGACTTAAGTATATTATTTCGTGTATCTTAGCTTAAAGCACGACTTGTCGAGATTAGTGGGGTGCTTGTAAGATAAAAGTTAGGACTCGTCATTGATTTGTCGAATCGTCTATTGTGGTCTAACGAATACAAATCCATTTCAAGATGACGATTCGGAAATCCAACATAATTTGATCTAAGATGATGGTGAAAAACGGTTGTTCAATAGTTCAAATAGTTCGTTTATAGATATAGAAACAATTGAAACTAGTGAAAAAGATGAGAGTGAATATGTATCGAATCGAATGAATGAGAGAAAAACTTAGATCTATATTATGGCGAGTTGTAATTAAAAATTAATTTTATTTTTTATATGTTAAATTATATCTTTTGTAGATTATACTTTTTTTAAAAAAATGTTTGTTGTGCATTTTGGACGTGTTAAATTTTATTTATTTTAATTCATAATAACTTATAATATATTTTATGCTGAATTGTCTTTCATTTTGTTGAACTGTTTTAGGTGTTATTCTTAAGTCATACCTCATGGGTTGGGCAAATCGATTACGGTGTCAATGATCATAGCTACGATATTGATCGTGCGATTGATAATGATAGTGTACATATACGTGGCAATCGCTAGTCTAACTATTTGGGTTGCGGAATTGATAATGGTGTTGGCATGTTTGCATTCCCTCCAATATTACCCCTATCGGTAGTGCTTCTGCTGTGGATGATCCCACTACGGTTTCCTCAAACCTAAAAAGTTCTATTGAATTTGATGATGAACATATCATTTAGGTCATAAATAACTGGTAAGTAATATATTTCACATGTCATGATAGTTTTATATTTTCATATACTATAGTAGAATCGTTAATTTACTTATTTATTTGTTTTGTTCGACGGTTTGGTTCCATCAAACAAGTGTTTCATAAAAATCATCGAAATTTTTAAGGAGCGATTGAATGTCGCTAGCTCCACATGGAACTCTGTCTATACGGAGACAAAAGGCTTTTACTTTAATGAGTTTAGAGTAACATATTAATTATTTACTTATATTTTTATTTAAACTATTAATTTAATATAAAAAATACTAATATTTTTTATTTATGTAAAAGTACTTTTTATGGGATGCGGTCTGTCGACACACCGATTAAGGATGTGTGAAAGAATCTAATACGGAGGCGATACGATAACATGCTAAACAAGTTGAAGCATAAAGATAACAAACCTATCTATGTTAAATAAGAGGTGTGGGAAGCACAACATCGGAATTGGGCCACTTTCAAGTATCGAGATCGATCTCGGCAAACATCTTGAAAACGCATGTCGGAGATGGATGGTGTTGGTGCCGGCTCATCCAAGCATACTTGGAGGGTCCATCTCTTTGATCGAGCATGCTGAGTATTTAGTAAATATTATATTATCCATTGCGTTATAAATTAATTTTTACATTTATTTCATCTCATATTATTTTATTTATTTTTTTAGTATCATAAATTAGGTTATAAGTCAAATTCTTATGAAGTCGTTCGTGATTAGTTACAAGCTAAACGATAAGACATTCGTCGACATGTGTCCGTAGACGGTAATAGTAAGATTTTATATATTTAAAAAAATATATATACATCTACCAATATAATCTAAAAAATATATTTATGATTTAATATTTTTATTATTTCAATGACCTCGGAGCATGTGTAGTCAATGCAAGAAATATCTGCTAAAGAGTGACAGGAGAGCGATGCATCGTTTCAAGATTCCAAGATATATTTGGATGCTCGTTGGAGGGGAGAAGAAACAAAAAGTGTACGATATCGAAACTTATGTGTCTTTGTGTTGCTTGCATTTTGATGCCGGTTTCTCCTCTGCCACTTCGCGATATCCCGATGATAATGTATAAAAGATTTTTACTTAGTACAAAGAGAGGATCAAGAGGATGAAGACTACCATCCAGCAACATGTCAATTGAGTAAACGGCATGCAAACTCAATTGCATAGAATTATGAGGTTGTTAGAGAATCTTTAGCCGCCTCAAGTCCCATTTTACTAACCCTCCCTCAACCTAGCATTTAGTTGTTTATCATAACGACTAGTAGTTAAAAGACGACGCAGGAGATGATGATGATGAAAAGGAAATTTCTTTTTTCTTTTTAATTTTTAAAATATTTTTGTACATCTTAATCCATTTATATATTTATTTTAACTTAATTTATATAATTTTAATTTTATGTAATAATATAGCATGTTTTAATAAGGTGTTGTTTATATTTATTTGTTGTTATCATTATCAATAAATGACAATTGATTTTGAAAAAATTACGACGGATTTAGCGATGGAATAGAAAAGATAATTAGCAATGGATGCATACAATCGCTAAATAATGACGGAACTAGTGACGAAATCACAAGAATATTAGCGACTAAAATTTAACAACGAGCACATTCTATCATTATTTAGCGACATATGTAAGTGAAAATAACAACGATTAGCGGCAGATATGAGATGTCATAGACAACTAATTTAGATCGATCTAGCGACGAAATTTGAAAAAAATAGCTATGGCAAAAAAATTCGATCGGTAAAAAATAACGACTATTGTTTTAGCGATGGATTACATGTTGTCACTAATCCGTCGCTAATTGCATGTAGTGATAGAATTTAGTCAAATTGGGAGGGAAAAATCTGTTGCTATTTAACGAAATTTTTATAGTAATAAAATGTATTTCAATCACTATATATATAAGAAAAATATTAAGATAATATTTTATCTATTAATTTTGTAAAAAATTCAAAACGTCACATAATTTAAAAATGCAAAATAAAAAATTCTAATAAAAATTTGCCTTCAACTATGTAAAAAATATATGATAAAAATTAAAAGAAACAAGAGTAAAAGTCTCCATTTTTTGTTGATGTACTAGCAATGTAAATATTTGTTAATTCAAATTTTAAGATGATAATGCTATAAGTCATTTCCTGTGAATTTTGAAATTAAAAAAAAAAAAAAGAGCTTTTTTGGGTTGAATTTTTTGGGTAAGTTTTGGGCTTATGTGGCTAAAGAAGATGATTCGAGTGTGCTGATTTTGTAGGTCGTTTGTCTGGCGTTTAAGTGGGCGGAACCTGGCGGGAAAATTTGGCCAAAAAATAGAAGTTGTCGGATTCGGCAAATAGGATGGCATTTATAGAGGATGATTTTTTTTTCAAATCACTTGAATTTCTTTTTTGGTAATTCATTTTGTTTTCTCTCAATTTTACCCCTGCATCTTTTTTCTAGCTTTCTTATTTCCATTTCACTCCTGATTTGTTTTTTCATATTTATAAAAAGGCTACTTATATATTTTTAAAATAGTTAAATATTTAAAATTTTTTAAGATATTATATTATTAAAAATAATATTATGTTTATTTCAAATCAAGTTGTTTTGGATAAAAATAAATTTATATTTGTTTCATTTAATAAACAAGTTAATAAATTTAGATCATTGTCGAATTCAAATAATAAAATTACTTATCAAATCTAATTAATTAAATTAGAGTGGAATCAATATCGGATGAATCGACAGCTTATTTACAATTGCTTTGTTATTAGCCAATTCGGTAATATATATATATATATATATATATATATATATATATATATATATATAACAAAAGGAAACAGTACATGTGCAGACAAGAAGGAATAATTAATGAATCATGAAACAGTACAGTATGTTTGAAATACAAAACTAGCCCCTTAATTTCAAAATGAAAAACCTCCTCTCTTATGAACCTAAAATTGATAAGAATCCGTCATCCGCTCTATCCTATAGACTCCATAAAAAGCATGAGAGTAACAACTAAATCCATTAATAAAAAGACCCAACAAAAATCAAAAGGGAATTTATTGGTTCTATTTTTATTTTTGTTTTTATTTGTTTTTGTGTCTTAACTATGAACTGGTCTTATAGCCGGTACAGGCACCCCAAATATACAAGCGGAGCTTGTTCTCACACTGTTGTAGTTCAGGCATTTGCCCGCACTCCCAGAACTATCCATAGACGGAACTCTTTGATCATCATGCACAACCTCCTCCTTCTCCTCCACCTCCACTATATTGTCATGATCACTATCCTCATTATTAACACAGTAATCATTTCCTACACCTTCATCATCATTTACTTCCACATCTATACTTTCTTCTACCAGGCTTTCAATTTCTTCCTGTTCTTGTTCATGTTCTTGCTCGAACACTTGTTCTTCTTCTTCTACTTCTTCACTATCATAGCGCTCAAGATCATTCTCAATGTGATGGCGTCTCTCCTGACCAACAAAAGGAGGGGCCGAAACTTCATCATCTAAAGGAACAAGATGCAAGGTGAGTCGTCCATTGGATCTGTGAGCCCGGAAGTACTCATGATGCCTGACCTTCTCTTCTCTAAGTATCAATCTTCCATCACTTGTATAGTACCTCTTTAAAACCCAAGGCATATGAGAAGGCAAATTGGCCGTACGAGCCAACAACGGTATTGGTGGTGGAAACTCCTTTTTCTTAGCCTTCCGTTGATCTCTCTTCTCACGATGACGACGTTGACTAAAACTCTCGTAATTAGTCTCTTCTTTCTTTGATGATGATGTGAGAGCATCTTCATTGTTCTTGAGATCAAGACAACTCTCTATACCAATATACTCACCAATGAGAGTTGAAGATGATGGTGATGAAACGTTGTAAGCCATGTTACTGCTTGAATTTAAGCTATCACAACTATTAAGAAACTTTTCCTCTGCTGGTGATTCAAGTCTTAGAGCCAAAAGGCTCTGTTGTAGTGAATTATGGGTTTGTGTTGATGTTTCTTGGTTTAGAGCCTCCATTTCAAAGGAAAAAAAGAAAAGAAAAGAAAAGAAACGAAGTGGGTTTGAAATTTGGTATTGGATTGGGAATCTAGAAGTGCATGGAGAGAACTGCGCTGTTGGCAGTGTGGCTGGTCAATAAATACCAGCAGTTTTTCAAAATAGAGAGTGGGATGGTGGGAGATAGAAAGAGAAAACAGTGTGATATCGATAAGAGCGGTATTGAAGAGAGGGAAAGATAGCAGCAGAAAGACAGCTCATATCTGTGACGTCAAGATTTGGTTCCATATGTGGATTTGAGATATTCATAATCTGGCACCATTACTAACTTGCCTGCAAGAGGAGAATCCATACACAATCAAAATCACACTCTCCTTTAAGACAGGATTTTGTGAAGCAGCTGCATAATATCGCTAATTAATAAACCTCTTAACATACATGATTAGTAAAATATATTAAATGAAATCTCTTTAATAAGATTATTTACAGACACACATACCAAATATATCGATCAATTTCTAGAAGAATATAATTTCTATGGAACTTGAATGAAAATTTCTACAGCTTAAGTACACATATAAAATTTACGACGGACGGCTGGCATTGTGTTCTTGGTTCTTAGAGAGGCACAAGAAGCTATTAAGATGTACATGATATGATCTCTTTATATCGAAAGGTCCCACAAAATAGAGCCTCACCATGAACGGTCAATGCGGTCCACCGAGTATCAAATGGATAATTCACCCACTATCAGATACATAATTCAAGTGGCACACCTCTCTCCTTTTGAAGAAACGAAAATTGAAGATTTTCAAATTATATAATTCAATTCCACTAAAAACAGTTGAATCTCAATTATTATTATTATTATTACTACTATTTTTTTTTTTTTGAATATGAGAATATAATATTTGATAAAAAAAAAAAAAGGGATGACAGTGAAGGGTGGAGAGAAAAAGAATGCCCTGCAAAGTTGGACGACTAGAAGACAGAAAATCCTTTTTTTTTTTTAAATGAATCAATCAATTTCATAACTCAAAGGACAAAAGCAGGAGCCAATCTCTGCTGCAAAGCAAAAAAACTGAAGGGAATAACTTAAAACCAGTCAAAGTAATTCCCAATTACAGCAAATATCCTGATCATATCTTCTACTATTTGGTAGCTAGCTTTTTTTTTTTTTTGGGAGGTCAAACCGATTAATTTGCTGTTTATTCTAGAAAATATATTATCTTCCACTATTTTCAATAATTCAAAAACAGCTAATCCGGATCACAATATCAAAATTCTTGTGTGTTTTATGACATCATAATCAGCGTAGAGTTATTAACTAAATAATTCGTGAAACTTGATTGAGTTTCCGTGTTATGATTTATATTGCATTACTGTAAAACCTATAAGTTTTCTAGGGTTTAATCTTCTCCTGACAAAAATATACTACAAAAACAAAATCAGAAAATTCCAAGCAGAAACTAAAGACGAAATAATATAAACATGGGTATTTCACACCAATGCAACGCAACTTGTAAAACCCAGAAATAAAAGGAACATGATTAAAAGGAAGATGAAACAAATCAGGAAAAAAAAATGACACAAATAAATCGACGACATACGATTGCAAAAATGATCAGAAAAGGGTAATCAGCATTAATTAAACCAAAGACTGATCATTTATTACAAGATCGACCAAAAACAACATTAATCAAGCATTTATTTTCTGCATATGATCATCACAAGAATGTTCATATGTATCTAATAACATATAGTATAACATTCATGATATGCAAAAGATGAAAAGGGATATCATAAATTTGGATAAAAAAGAACATACCAAAGGATACAAGAGGAGAGGATATGATGGGTCATTGCGTTCTTGTGGGGCATTACCTTCAAGTCAGTTACAAGAAGGACACTACACAAAATACAGGAAGATAGGATTCCTTGATGCCCCCAGAAAGACAACTCACAATCCAGAGGCACCAAGACAGAGAGGCATGGATTGCCACACGGCTTTAATTCAAGATTTTATTTATCATATTAATTATGTTCTTACTCCCTTTTTTTTTTTTTACCCTTTTGTTTGATTGGTGGATAAAACAATGACGTTTAAAAGACAAAAACTCGAAAGAGAATTTATCCATAATTAATATCAGCGTAATTCGGGAAAATAATCGCATATGTTAATGCGGGCTTTAAGGGATTAGGGTGTCAACTAAGTTTGGTTTGGTCAATTGCTCGCTTGCTTATCTGTTAATGGTTTCGTTTAGGACTTCACGTATTCCCCTTTTTTTTTAAAAAAAAACATTTAAGAACTTCAGCAAATAATAATAATGATAATTAATAAATTGCTGTTACAACTTTTTTGGATTTGCACTAATCAATATTCCAATCATATAGAAAGCAAAGGTATAACTTAGGAGTCAGAATTGATAAGATGATGTACAGGGAAGGGACCGGTTCGGGGAATGAAAATGGTGCCAAATCCAAATTGAGGTGGCAGAAAAATACGGCCCAGGTAAAGGCGCTTATTAGAGCTAACACAGCATGAGGCAAGCATCCTCTCTAAACTCTGAACTCAAAATACACACCACCAATTTAATATCTGGGCACCGTTGCTATTACGTACGTTATCCGCATAACCATCTGTAGTTACTCCATGCCAACATCATGGCCGTTACAACTTACTAGTCATAGCTATCCGTTCTTGCCTTTGTTGCCGTCGCCCTTCCCAACCTGCTGGGTGGAAAATAGAAGCCTAAGTTCTACACTTCTACGAGTGTTTATTTATTATACTCAATTGGTGGCCGTCCGTCAAGGAATCATCCTTTTAATGAGGGCTTTGGCGGATGAAATCAAGAACGTCAATGATTAAAATCTGCGTCGATGAACAAGTCTGCTAACAGCGCTAAAGATCAGAATGATTATTTGTCAGGATTAGCAGAAATACATATTTAGGACTAGTTGATATTATTCGCCAACAATGATGGATTCTCAATAAGCTTATTTTCTAGGTGTCCTTAAAATTCATAGTTCATACCAAGAAGGCAAGAACCCAGATCAAATTCCGTGCAGACGTACAGCTACACAATTGCCATTGGACACAAATAAGAAAATAATGGTGGACCTAGAGAGCAAGAATTGCAAAGGAAATGAACTTAAAGAATAATGTCTGTGCGCGCGCGCACGTAAGAGACAAGGACAGACCATCTGCAGAAGAAGGAGCATAGCCACCGTTAGTACAGTGGTGCATGTAGGAAATGGTGGACCCTTAAATTCTGTCCAAACTGTTATCCAACCAAAAATATGGAAGTTCAAAACAGATAATTTTTTTAAATGATAGCAATGATAACAATAATTCTGTGAGTTCAAGATACAGACCATATAAATAAATGACGCAACTATGATTATCATTAGAACATGAATGAGTTACCGAGCTCTCCATTTGCAATACCTGGCTAATTACGATAAATATCTCCTAAAGTAAGAATTAGCCTGTGCAGCATCTCAATTAGAGCATAAGGAAGAACAAAATTGCAGTGCTAGTTTTGGGAGGAGAGTTACTGAAAATGAATCTCACTGCTTGCCAGGCAGTGACTTGATAATATCTGAATCACCTGCACAACATGTTGATGAGACAGATATAACAGTTTCTAAAGTGGATGATCTGAATCATAATATAACGAACAACTAATCATGAAAATTCATCATACCTGGATCAATAATGCTAAGGCATGATACCAGAAAATACTTGCAAAATGCTGTTCCCGGATCGACATTGTCTAAAAGCACAGACAAAAGCCAAACTGATGAGGAGCTAAAAGTTTAGACACATGCATGATATAGCAATACAGGTTTTAATAGGCTTATCAAACTAAAATCTACAGATCGATTGATTGTAACATCATAGTAATTTGAATCCAAGTCTTATCCCAACAAACAACAGAGCCTCAATGTATTAGTCGCAATTTCTCAATAGCAATGCCACTATCACAGCCACATGAGAAAAATGAACAGAAGAGAAAATCATATTCTTTCACAAACCACTCCCACAACCATTCACACAATAGTGAAAACTGTTTCCAAAGAAGCAGTTGGAGATACCATTTTGTGGCAGTCAAGCTACACTATTCCTGTCCTCTAATGATATCTTCGATTGCAAAATCTAGGTCTACAGTGTTATGATCATCTTATAAGCTACAATCTATCAGCTTGGTGATGTAACGACTAGTCTGAGGACTAAGCATCCATATTTAAGTTGTTACCCCGAAAGACTCAAGTTCACGTCCTAAGCAAAAAAAAATTATGATTGATGGGATTCATTCTCATCTTTTCCCATTCCTGGTTTTGTTGATGATGGGACAGCAAGCAGGACAAAAATGTCGATTGGAGAAAGAAAGAGAATCAATGATCGAACAGAAGTAAACATGTGACTTAAGCAATCAATTTTTCTGATATGATAAAGCAAGACTAAAAAGGATAGTCATGAACATATTCCTTGCATTGGTTCATGCTTTAAAAAAAAAAAAATCTAAAAGTTATTAACCCTTTATAAATCGATTTGTTCCTTTGTATTAGATGGCTCCCCTAGTTATACCTAGAACTTCTCTTAAGGGCCCATACCCCCAAAATTTAAGTTGACTAGCTTGGGATAAAAGTATAAGAAGCAAATCAGCTCACCACTACCCAACCAAACCCTAACCCAAATTCTGCCAATGCTGGAAATTTTTTCTGTACCATATGTAACCTTCGAGATAAAGAATATTTCTTAATTGCATGTTAAAGATGGAAATGTCTCGAAGAAAACATTGTATATCAAAGCATCATATAAGGTGTTTCTTTACTCGAGAAACTCCATGGCATGGCTAGTGAATGAATTTGCTTAGATAATAAACTTAGCAAAATCTGTGCTATTCCCATGATACAGCATTGTGCACAGCAATAGATGGAGCTGCAGTTGTCAGCTATGTATTACAGACTTTGTGAATGCTAAGTTAAATAATTGGAGGGTAATTTAACCAACAAATTGGTATTTTGCTAGCTACTTTTATTGGTGTTGGAGAAACTATCAACAGAATGACATGCAAGGAAGGAAGAGTCTCCCTTATCTTCGTTCAAATTGTAAATGGCTCAGGTCTTTGCTAATTTTTTTATCTTGCAAATGGTTAGACAAAACTGCAACATTAAGATAGTTTTGGCTAGCTAGTCAGAAAGGCTATCATCCAAAAGTTATGTTCATATACATGCTATTTTAGTTAGGCATAAATTGAAGCTTTGATGAAAGAAAGACATAAACTGTACACTCATTATTCATATTCCAAGCAATAAAAACTGATGCCAACTCACTACAAACATGCATGCTCTAAGCCACAAAAATTTGCTACCATGCGACCCATACATTTTTACTTTTTGAATGTTTTAGATGCCCTTGTAACTAAATTATGTAAATTAATGGCCAATTGGGTCATAAGACAAAAATTGTGTTTCTAGAGAAATTTTTGGTTACAGAACTACCTGGGAAATACAATAATCATATTTTCACATTACCTATTTAGGATAATTTAGAAAAATAAATAAGTTTATTTAATGAAACTTTTACTTAATTCCATTATAATGGTGAACCCCAACTTTAGCCAGCATAGCATAGCATTCGATCTCTGACATGCGCGAAGGAGGGCAACTATTTGGGACAATTATCAGTTTCCCTACAATTCACCCCAACAGCTAAGTACAACCAGCATCAATAACAGTACGTAAGAAATAAATGGCAAAATCAGAAAGAGATAGAGACCTCTAGAAGCACGGAGAGAAGGAAGCAGAGTCTTTAAATTTTCCACTCTTCATCACCAGAGGTCTAGAGCCAACATGCTGTTGATACTCTCATGTCTTCCCCTCTATAACTTAATCCATCACCACAAATGAACATGTGAAAGGTAGGTAGATAAAAGAAACAGGGTAGCCCCGTTTTCTTACCAGCTACCCCTTTTTTGCTACTCTAAATCACTGGGGTTTCTTTGCTTTCTGTGTGCAGCCAGCCGATATCGCATTGCTGGGAGAGAGAATGGGATGATGAAATTGAAAAGAGATTGCAATAATTCCTTCCCAGGGCACTCGCCCTGCTAATTGTAATTTGTAACGAGACGATTTGTTTTTTGGGTTGGGCCTCTGCTATGTAAGAATAAAGGCATTTTTAAATTCACTTATAAAATTGTTATCTCTATCAATTTTTTTCTATACAAATATTAATATATTTTTCACTAATTATCAATAATTATTATATAATAAAAATGACTGAAAGATATATTGACAATTTTCTGAAAAAAATAATAATTTGGTCGGAGAATTTTCTTTTACACCATATCTACATTAGGGTAGTTGATAAACGTGAGACTCCAACCCCAAAGTTTATTCTTTATATTTCTCTATCACGAATTCGTATGATTATTTTTTGACAACTTATTACGAACTAATGTGACAGTTTATAATAGATTATTTATTATAAATGATAGTTATTTATTTTTAATAAAGATGATGTTAATGTCAAGATTTATATCAGCGTCATTTAATTGTTTTCAAAGTTTTGTAAGTTGGTAAAAAGATTGATAAAATAAATGCTCACCTTTTATAGCATTTCAAAAAAAAAAAAATCGAATGATATTTTTACCTCTAGAACTATCTCATTATGTGGTAAAAAAAATCAACAACGTAACAACTAAATTACAATCATTCTAAGAAAACACATCCGTAATTAGCGTAAAAGAATAAAAAAATATTCTTTTTATCTATTTATTTATTATTATTTAATTTTTTATGGATGTTGGATTCAGTACCAATTATTTTGATTTTTTTTCTTAATGGAATTCAGCACTAAGTTGATTACGAAGATGATGCCACATGTCTTTCATATAAAACAACGTCAGTAATGTTTATCACTTTGACATTTTTTTTTGAGGTTGTGATTTTGGTATTTCTATTTCAAGATGCAACTTTCAATCCAGATGTGGTAATAAAATGGTAGTCAAACAAAGAAGTCTGTTCTCTCTCCCTCATTTTTTTCACAGGATTGTTTTTTATTTTCTTGCTTAGTTTTATAAACAATCAATTGAGCATGGTGTATAAGCGTATCTCATCCATTTGCAGCATATGATTTGTGCTAAAAAAAAAAAAAAAACGAAAACAGTTGACTTTAGCGATCCATTAAGAACCAACCTGGCAATGGATGCTAATTTGTTTAGCCAGTTAAACGATTTAAACCATAATACGAGATATTCCAAATAAAAAATCGATTTAGAAACAAAATTTTAATTAAAACTTTACACAAATTGATTTGTCAATTATTTAACAGTTAAGTGTGAATCCATGAAAATAATGATAGTTCTCTCATGAAAATAATAATAATAATAAATAAATAAATACTATAGTTTTTTTGTGAAAATTTGATATAAAAAATTTGCATTGTTCTTTGTTGAAATTAACAATTAATAATGGAAGGAATCATAGAGGAAAAACAACCATCCCTAACAGGCAGCTCAAAATTCAATAAACCTTGTAATAAATTATGAAGGGAAAAAAATCAATGCTGGAAAGCGTTGCTTATTTAACATGAAAATGTATAATTCACGTTAATTAAGCAAATCTCCTCATAGATAACAAACAAACAAATAAATAATGTGTGGTGCTTTTTAATATCGAAGTGAATCGACATGACAGTTGTTAGGACATGCATGGCTGATCAATTTCTAAAAGCCACGATTCGAAGCCTCGAGCTGCCAAGAAATTCCTCTGTTGGTCAACTCGTAGGTCAAATGTTGTGACATCCGCATATATTTGGTTCCAGGTTTGATTTATTTCTTCACTTACAACCATTTGGTTCAACGAATCGAACGAATCAACAGGCCTTGCATCGATGACAGATGACTCCATGCGTCTACTACTTTCAGTTTCATGGTTTCCTAGAATATCAATACCCATGACTTCTTGGACTTGTTCAGTTATTTGTGGCGGAGGCGACGAAACCATGTTTCTGTTGCCGGTTAGCTCTTGAACAAGCCTATTGAAGTTTGAGTTATCGGTGATGTAAACCTTTGGTCGTAACGCTTGATTCAAATTGCTATATTGTTTCTTCTCATCAATATTCTTGCACATCCTATCTTCCTCATCATCCTCTCAAATTTCGAATTAGTACTCTTGGTGTTTTATATCTATTAGTTACTAGTTGAAGAATGGGATATATGAGTTAATTATATAAAGGGATCTGCGGCACTGGCTGAATAAGATGTCTAACAAATAATACGATTTTTTTCTCTTGTCATGTTACTAAAAGATGCTAAAAATGGTGTTGATTTTTGATTCTGCAATTGAGCCCTCTTAATACAAGGCTGAACCGATTACACCTACCAATACCAACCCATTAATTATCTCTTTCAATCCCATTTCAGAGCATGCCATATCAAGGAATATTTATGCCAAGGTTCGTTATGGCATGAAAGAAGTAATAGGTGGTGGTCAATGATAAATTGATAATCCCCTTCAACCGTATATTCTAGCCCACTATCAGTCGCCTTCTCGTCTTGTATTGCTCATGTTCATTCAGAGTGCTTTTTCTTCTTTTTATGGAAAAAGGACTGGAGTACTGTCAGCGACCGAGCTTAGATCACCAGAAGCTCTATACTTTTTCTCCTTGTATATCGTCTTCGTCTTATATATAACAGCGAGGCCCAGTAAGTTTAGGACGTTCCCTGACAAAGATGAGTCTTTAAATTACTTTAGTTCTTTTCATGAACTGCTCTAGTGATTGCTATTAGATCTCGAATTGCAGATAGTTTATAGATATGTTTTTTAGTATTCTATTCTTCTTTTAATGTTAAATCAAAATCAACAGCCATAAACGTACAAGCAATTATAATAAAAAAGTAGTAGTAATAATAATAGATAGGATTACGTACTGTAAGTTCACGATGCTATAATGTAGATACGAACATATCAATAGATCTATGTTGACAATTTTATTTATATAATGTTTAACAAATCAATTTATCATTTACCATATCAATACATATATTTAAGTGCTTGTTTGATAATCGAAATAGAATGATGAGAATGAAAATAAAAATTAAGGAATCAAAATGATATTTATATTTCTATACTGTGTCTACGTAATATTAATGAGGAATCGAAATACAATTTAAATTTTTTATATAAATAAAAATAATAATTAAAAAAATATTTTTATTAAAATATAATGATTGTAAAAATAATAAAGATGATGATAGTGATTATAGTTATGACAATAATGGTTCTAATGGTGATGGTGATGGTGGTGGTAGTGGTAATTGTGGTTGCGATTGTGGTGATGATGGTAGTAATAATGGTGGTGGTTGTAAGTGGTAAAAGTAGTTAATAGATAATAAATAAATAAAATATATTATTATTTTGAAAAAAAATTAATTTTATTTTTATTTTTTATTCTCATATTTTATATGGGAATAAAGTTATTTGCAAATTTTTGTTCTCATTTTTATTCTTCATTTCTATTCTCACTTCATTCTTTTTAACCAAACATTTACAATATGAAAATATAACTTTCATTTCTATTTCTATCACTTTATTCTTGATTATCAAATAACACCTTATTGTATTTATGGATATATTAATAAACACATCGATTTAATGATTAACATATTAAGCGTAACCATTGATATGGATATATTAACTGTATATAAATGTAATGATGTAGAATCCGTCTTCCTGCGATTACTGTAATTTTTAATATTTTAGAAAAATCTTCATAAAACTCAACTTATTTATAAATACCGTAATGGTGCATGATTTGCATCCAATGACTTCCGTACTTTTTAACATCTTAGAAAAGTATTTATAAAAATTAACTAATAACGAATGTGTGATATTAATTTTAAACCGTAATAGTGTTTGACGGCCAAAATTTGGGACGTAGGGTTCATATGAACCCTACATTCAAAATCAAAAGCAAAAAGCAAATTTGGTGTTTTAATTTATTTATGGTTTTCTTATATGCACCTCCATAAATAATGTATTATGAGTACATATTATTTGAATTCTACAGCTAAAACGTTTAAATATATAAAAAAAAAAAACCACTTTTTGTCAAACGCTGTCTAGCAAACAGGCCGAGTCGAGAAATTTTACAATAATTAAAGAATAGATACATAATTTATAATAATTACTCTATGATTTTATTTTTAAAGAAATAAATAGATTCATAAAAGAAAATCGGAGTCATTGAACTTTTTATTTAAAAATTTTGGAGTTTGTCAAAGAAAGAACCATTATCTTTCCACACCTCTACCTCCCAAAACATAAAAGGGATAGAGACGGAGCGTGTGGCTCGTTTCCCGTAATGGCGCCGGTTGAAAGGAGCACGAAACAGGGAATCCCACGTGTAAACAGCAAACTCCTCTGCTCAATTCTCGACACATCATCAAGGTCCCCACTTGCGTGTCTTTCTCTCACCGCCCCCTCCCTAGATCCCCACAAATTATCATTTCACTTTTTGACTTTTTGTTGACGCAACAAACCTTTTCCACGTCCCCCCAAGCCATCCATAACTATTATTAGCAAACAATCCTAGGTTTAAACTTTAAAACTCCCTAACACCCCCTGCACCCCCGCGCAAGATAGCACCCACCCCTACACCTCTGTCATATTTGTCCAACTTAAAAACCAAAAGCCTCCCTCTCTCTCCATTTCTCATTTTCACTCACCTCATCTCTTGTATTGTTAAACAATGGAGTGCGGTCGCATGGTTATTTGGGTGGTAATAGTGCTGCTTTGCTTTCAATTTGAAGGTTCAGTTGCACTGACATTCTCTTCCAAGCTGATGCACCGCTTCTCCGACGAGGCAAAATCGCTCTGGATTTCGCGAAAGGGTAATGCGAGCGGTGATTTGTGGCCAAAATGGTACAGTTTTGAGTACTTTCAGTTGTTACTCGGCAACGACTTGAAACGACAGAGAATGAAGCTCGGTTCGCAGAATCAGCTGCTGTTTCCTTCTCAAGGAAGCCAAACTCTCTCCTTTCAGAACGAACTTGACTGGTCAGTCCAAATTAACAAATTGTAGTACTAAATAAAAAAATAAATAAAAATTGCGGAATTTTATTATTATTTTATTTGTTTTTAGGTTGCATTATACGTGGATTGATATCGGCACACCAAACGTGTCGTTTTTAGTTGCATTGGATGCTGGTAGTGATTTGTTATGGGTCCCATGTGATTGCATACAGTGTGCTCCTTTATCTGCCAGTTACTATAGTTTTCTGGTACGCCAGTTCATGACTTATTTATTTATTATAGTTTGCTTGTTTGATTTTACTTGTAAAAGAAATTTCAAATTTAAAAAAAGAACATTGAAAAAAGGAGCTTTGAAGAGTCAAATTTGGTTAAGAGTTTTATGGTGTTTAATTAGGATGATTGATTGGCAGGTGCTCCTGTTATATTTGGGGCATCTATTATGCAGGATAGAGATTTGAGGGAGTATAGTCCATCTTTATCAAGCACGAGCAGGCATTTATCTTGTGGTCACCAGTTATGTGAATTGGGTCCGAATTGCAAAAATCCCAACGATCCTTGCCCTTACATTGCTAATTATGATGATGTTGAAAACACGTCGAGTGCTGGGTTTTTGGCTGAGGATAAATTGCTTTTAGCATTGGTTGGTGATCAGAAGGCTCAAAAAACGTTGCAAGCTTCAGTTATTCTAGGGTGCTGTGTTGTTCTTATTTCTTACATTGGCTAATCTTTGGGTTCTTAGTGATGGTTGGACTTGTAGGTTTTATTGTTTGTCTGTTTGCGTTTTTTTTTTCTTTCTTTTTTAATGTAGATGCGGTAGGAAGCAAAGTGGGAGCTATTTGAATGGAGCTGCCCCTGATGGTGTTATGGGATTGGGACCTGGAGACATTTCTGTTCCGAGTTTACTTGCTAAAGCAGGATTGATTCGAAAATCTTTCTCGCTGTGTTTTGACGGTAACGATTCTGGGACGATTCTATTTGGTGATCAAGGGCATGCCTCTCAACAATCAACTCCATTTTTGCCAATACAAGGAACTTAGTATGGCTGTTGCACACTCTTTTAAATGCTTTTGACTTGTCTTAGAGAATTCGTCTTAGATAGCTTGATAATGCTTGGTATTCTTGGAATTCTTACTCTAATTAGTTTGTTAATTGTTTCAGTGTTGCTTATTTTGTCGGGGTGGAGTCTTATTGTGTTGGTAATTCTTGTCTTAAGAGATCTGGATTCAATGCATTGGTTGACAGTGGTTCCTCTTTCACATTTCTTCCAAGTAAAGTTTATAATGAACTTGTGTCAGAGGTATCTATTTTAGTCCACGTTTTACAACATGTAAGTTTTTCTTGTTATGTAGGGCCTAAGACGTTAATTGTTTATTGGTTGCAGTTTGACAAACAAGTGAATGCTAAAAGAATTAGTTCTCAAGCAGGCCTATGGGACTATTGCTATAATGCCAGGTTGGATTGAAGATTTTTTGAAAGTTTGTGAGCTCTTAGGTTGTATCTTGGGTAACTGATGGTTGGGGTTGTTTTGCGGAACAGTTTACAGGAGTTGCACAACATTCCTTCCATTCAAATCAAGTTCCCAGGAAACCAGAACTTTGTGGTTCATAATCCCACATACTCCCTTCCGCATCATCAGGTACTTGCTGTTTTAAGCTTTTTAATAATTGGAAAGTAAAAAGAGACCTTTTCCAGGAATGTCAATATTTAATCTCTCGTGCAGTTTAAAAAAGGTATTTTGTTTCCACTGTATCCATGTTTGCCTTATCGGAATTACTCAGCTTTAGTTCTGGGATTTATTGATAAATTTTGCTTTGTTCCTTAGGCATAAACTGTATTCAATCTTTCCATTTTTGGCTTCTATTGTTATAATTTTGTGTGGTGACTGGCTGCAAAAAACTCATGTCACAATGTTATGCTGTACAGGGATTTACGATGTTCTGTCTAACTCTCCAGCCAATAGATGATAGTTATGGGATTATTGGGCGTGAGTATGCGCATCTGCCTGTTGAATTTGCGTACTTGTACTCTTTAACCATCATGGTATAATGACACTGGGTTGCATATAAATTGCAGAAAACTTCATGACGGGTTACCGCATGGTTTTTGACATGGAGAATTTGAAATTGGGTTGGTCTAATTCCAGTTGTAAGTATACTATCATTTTGTTTGGTTTCAGTTATGCAGCATATCTATTTTGTTGCTTTAAAGTATGATGTTTCTAAATACAGTGAATCATTGATTTTTTGCAATTTTCTTGGTGGGTTCTTATTTCAAACCATGCATTAGTTTGTCCAAATTCTTGGACGCAATTTTCTATAGGGCAGGTTGTTGTGGAAATTTTTGATGAATTTTCTGTCTTTAGAAGAATTGTTCTTCTGGTTTTGATATTTATGTTAGTTATACTGAGTAGCTTTTATCATACCATCATTTCATTGAAACTTTGGAAACTTATAAGTTCATTGTGAAATCCATGTGTCCTTGATACTTCAATTGGTAGCAAGAATCTTATGTTGCTTAGCCAGAGCCCATCCTTGGCTGCCTTTCTGTCCCGCTTAATTTACCTTACAGGAGATTAATTTTGTGGATTGGGGGCCAGGTAAGGTCCCTGTTCCATTTTTTTTCTTTTCCATGACTTTTTCAACCATATATCACTGGCCGAAGTTGTGTTGAGGTGGTAATGATAGAACTGGCTTTTACTTCCCTCTTATTTCCTCCCAGTTCCTCTCTCTCTCATTAACTGTTGATTTTGATTTTACAGGATTGCCAATACTTCTTGTAAATTTGAAACTGTTTCCCATAAAAAAACCAATTCTACTCTGTACTGTGTCTGCAGGTCAAGATACAAGTGATGGTGCAGATGAGAACCTTGCCCCCCTCCGGATGGTAAATCACCAAATCCACTTCCAACCAATGAGCAACAGAGAATCCCTGGGAGACATGCAGTTGCTCCTGCTATTGCTGGAAGGACTTCCTCTGAATCATCTGCAGCTTCCCTGCTTATTCCATTCCTCCATTTAACGAGCTCATTGCCATTGCTACCCACTATATGTATGCTTATTTCAACTCTCTAATTATATTTCTCCGGTCTTGCTTGTATATCCTGTCTATTCGTGTCGAGCCCTCCCAACTCTGAAGGACAATTTTTCTCCGGGTCGTTGTATTGATTAGTGTTGGTGGGAAGACTTTTCTCCTTTAGTGGTTTATCTACTTAGATTCAGTGATCTATGTTTTGTTTCCTTTCTTTTCTTTTGTATCATTGATTTATTAGTGCTGAATCTACACGTACTTGTTTGTAGGTTCCTGATTCCGTTGGTCCAAGTACAGCTAAATTATACCGAAAGTGTAGACCTTTTACGTGATTAGGTCAAAATGTTTTGGTTACAATGTAGGTATCAATATCTTTAACTATTCGCGGATGCCTTTGTTGTTAGAAGAGGGTAAGTAGGTGACGTTAACACAAGAACCAGGTGGAGCATTTGAAATGACGATACATGGAGTAATACTGAATATGCATTCAAAGAATCAAATATCTTAATATATAAAAGAAATTATTCATACTTAATCAAATAAATACCATAATTATTATTAGCTATTGATTGACCTAGAATTCTGCATCAAAAAGATGAAGTTAGCTGGAGTGAGTTTGGGCAGCGAATGCGAGGGTATGAATTGTGGAAACGGCCTAATGAAATAAGTCAAAGAATGGCGATGATTCTCATAGATCATGTTACAAGCTTTAGCTTTTGGTTTTGTAAAATGCATAAAGGTGCATGTATTTTTCATCTGATTATCCGATGTATTATGATTTGTCTATGTCCTCGTGCTTTCCGTTGTTTGGTTTAAGCAGAAGTTGATTGCCACTAAAATTACACTCTTGTGAACAATAATTGAGTTCCTTACGGTTTAGGATTGGTACAACTTTCGGAGGAGTGAAGATTCTTCCACTTCACCTTATTCCTGACCTGAATTGGTTTGATCACATTTGACTGGAATTGGTTTAGCATTTCACTTGCCGTTCTAAATTTGTAAAGGAGACTATATTATTGGACGGGTTATCTTACAAAAATAAACGTTTATGATTTACTTTAGTCCTGTCTTTGAAACGACTTCAAGGATTGATGTTATCTGGGGCTTGGGGCCTTCAAGACACGAAATTACTTCGCCTGGCAAAAGGCTCTTTTCGTGTTAGACCGAAGTGGGCTAAAGTTAATGTGGACTTCTTCTACCCAAACCAAACCCAAATGAGACTCTGAACATTTTGCCCATCATTGTTGCTTTACTGTTACATGGTATCAACTATCCACTATGCCTGTCAAATATTATTTTTGGAATGCTTCAGCACACATACCGTTAACCGAGGATTTGTGTAGACCTGTACCAGCAATAGTACATCCGAATTTGTTAGCATTTTTTGTAATATTGCAAGGTTCCATCACACGGTGGACATAGTGACGATGATGGGTGATGGTGACCATACGATTAAACGTGTCGCACGACACATGTATGCCGTTGGATTTTTTTCAAGTAAAATTGTAGATAATGCCAAGACATAACACTGGTTGCTAAATCCTTTGGTGGTGGCATGTGTCCGAGGAGACGGAAGCTGTCGGGTCTGGTCAACACAACGAGCTTCCACTTGACAGTAACGTTCCCGACTTCCGCTATTCTCCTCCGTTAATTTTTCGTCTACACACAAATGGTAACATACCCATGATTCTTGATGACAAAAGGCGGATTATTATACTCATCCTGTTTCATACTCCAGATAACCTTAATCCATAGGAAATGGTTCCAATGGTGTTGTGATTAATTAATGTTAAGAGGAATTTGGACTTGGATTATCACCACGTAACCAACTTTTTAGGCATTGAAATCAGGCAGGTAGCACTGTACAATTACATTGATACATAAGTGACTCTGGGTCTGCAATTAATTCCTATGACCATTACTTTCAAGGAATCCAGGAAGCACCTAGATGCAATATTCAATCAATGGATGAATTCTGTTTTAGCTCAATGCGTCGATATATAATTGGTCCAGAGGAATCCCCTAGATAGACAAGTGCAAGATCCTCTGCCAGCTCTTGCCCCTTTCGAACCGTTTTGATTAGCTTTCCTGATCCTTAATTTCGTTTGAATGATTGAAATGGACAAAAGTGCTTTTTTTGTTTCTAAAAGCAAGAACCAATGTTAATTAAAGCAAAATAATTGCTATTTAACCCTGTCATGTCGTTAGGAAGAAGAGACAAAATGCATAATTTTCCTTATCAAAACTTAAAAAGAGAAAATTTTCATTTTCATGGAACAGAGTCATTAATTAATATTAAAAAATAATATAACTTATATCATAGAATCTCATGGAACATTTTAGTTTTAACTTAATGAGTGAAATGTAAAAAAAAAAAAAAAAAAAAAAAAATTAGAATTAAAATCAAGAAAGACAGTGCTTTTAAGATACTGACGTTTCAGCCAGGTGCCATTTTGTCACAGCAAGCCACTCTCGTTTGGGGCTTTGTTTATTCTTTTATCTCCCTTCTTTTTTCTACAGTCCCACCGCCCAATCATACATCAGTCCTCCAATCGACCAAGCATTTCACAAGTGGACAATCACTAGTAAACAATCTCCTTTCAAGTAGGTTCAACCAAGCAACGATATCCTCTATGTACGTATTTTGGCCTCCACTTGGAATATTACACAGCCATTAGATTCCCTCCTGTACACGTGTCGAGTACATCACATGAAACGTGGCATCTGATGGTGCCATGCAATTTTATATGGCCCCATTATTCAATGCATGCGTATGTAAAGTCTTATTTTTAGAATAATCAATGCATCTCCATTTTGATCAGCTTTTAACAAGTCCTTTTTCTCAAGCGTTGCCCTTAGACTTTACTGTTGCTTTTATCTTTCGTGCGCCAAAAGAAATGAACTCCGGGCCTAAGTAAGTGCATCCAAAGACTTGGATTATGGAGACAAATCAATCGTGTTTAATTACTTAAAGCCATTTAATCCTCCTCCCTTTAAGCCCGGTGATGAAGAAGCTTTTATGAAGACAGACATTGTTTATGAAATATGCCTATATAAGAAGGGGCTTAAATAGTGAAGATTTACTCAAATTAAATTGAGGAGGAAAGCAAGTTAGAGGGCAGCCTTTAAAACCCTTTTCCTTTCTTGTCATTTAGTTCACAAGGGAATCCACAAAGGCTTGAGAGGAAGTTTCTAGTGTAGAACCCACCTTTTATATTTTTGTGTAGATTTACCCTAGCTTTTTTTTCCCTCATTTTTTATATTTTCTTATTGACATGTATATCCGTTGGTTACTATATAATAGGACTAGAGTTTCCTCTTGTCGCTTATTATCCTTTCTCCATGCTTTGTACTTTGTCTCCTGCAATATTTTTTCTACGCATCTGAAAGAAAAACAAGTTGGAGTTAGCGCTAGTACTCTTTCTCTCCTTTGAAACCAAGCCCTAAACCGAAGGCCTCATTCTGAAGCCTTTAATTTCAAGCAAATCTTTCTATATATATATAACAGTACAGTCTCTGCCGTAATTAAGATAAACAATTAAACATTTTCGAGTGTGAAAAAGAAACACAAAATGGGAGTTTCAGGAACTTTGGACTACTTCTCTGATTTACTAAGCAATGTCAAGAAGGGCAAGAAAAAGAAGCAAATACAAACTGTAGCACTCAAAGTCAGGATGGACTGTGAGGGCTGCGAACGTAAGGTCAAGAGTGTCCTCTCCGGAGTTAAAGGTACTTATCTGTGCATAGATTCTTGTCTACTCTAGCTATTCATGCATCTTCTTCAATTCTTCTGTTTCTTCTGCGTTCTTTTCATGGGATCAAACAAAGCTGCTTACTAAATTAATTATATGTCTTTCTTTTAGGTGCTAAATCTGTGGACGTAGACTTGAAGCAACAAAAGGCGACTGTGACTGGGTACGTAGAGCCAAAGAAAGTGTTGAAGGCAGCTCAATCAACAAAGAAGAAGGTAGAGATGTGGCCTTATGTGCCATACACTTTAGTGGCAAACCCCTATGTTTCACAGGCTTATGACAAGAAAGCACCTGCTAATCATGTTAGAGCCGTTCCGGTCACAGCCACCGTCAGCGAGACCACCATGGATGACAACTACACCAACATGTTTAGCGATGAAAACCCCAATGCCTGCTCCATCATGTGAAGTGATATATAAATGTAAAGTTTTAATTAAGGCTAAATCAATCAGAATAGTGTTGATATATGTATATAATGTGATTTACTAAACTTTTTAATACTCTCTTTTTGAGTGTTTGTGGTAGCTATGTGGAGATTAAGATATGGGCAATATTGTTGATGAAACAGTGTGGCTAGTTATGCGACAGCTACGTCTATCGATCATTGATGGTGCTTTTTTCGTGATTGACATTTCCATGATGCCAAGATACTTCTTTCACATGCAGTGGCAATTGTATTGGTCTTTTCCGGTCTCTATAGGCTATAATAATTAACTTCTTCCTCGTTTATTAATTACGTGGGCTCCCGTGAGGATGGATTAAGCGCTAATGATGAAAGTCAAGTGAAAAGAAATGAAACAGCTGACTCCAATAACACGTAGTCTAATTAATTTGGATTATCGGAAAAAGTGACAATAATTAGCTAGCTTTATCGACGTCTCAATTATAGTGTGGCAACTATACTATGATTATTGAGACGATTTAAAAGGAAAAATTAGAGGTTGAAACTGCTGCATGCATGGATTTAGAAGGGAGTGCTTGTAAAAAGGAAACACCATCCTTTTCTCATCCAGTCATTTCTCTCAATTCTGTGCTGTATCCTAAATTGTACTTTGCACTTACCCTTTTTCCACTTTTCGTGTGTTTTAGTTGGATTTGCTTCTATGCAAGACATTTTTTACAAAATTCAATAACTCCTTTTTTAAAATTAATTATTTCTTATTTAAAAGTTATATATTAAGAACAATTATCAAAATTTAGGATGTCAAAAAGTTTTTTTTTTCCTTATAATTAAAATAACAGTCGTGGTTTTGTAGATTACATTAGTCTATATTTTCTAGATGTGATTCCAATATCAATACGATTAAGTAAATTGTGAGTTTTGACAATGTATTATAATTTGGTGTTCTACCAAATCTTTGAAATTAAACCTTATGCTTGGAACGAGCTATAAGAAGAAAAAGATAAAAAAGCTATAAAATTTTCATTAATATTAAAAAAATACAAATAAATTACTATTTTGACACAATGTCTAGATAAAATTAAATTAAAAATTATAATTTTTTATTTGAAAGAGTATTGATTTGATACGTCAATGGATGGTCTTATTGGCAACATCATATCATTCAATAATATGGACAACAAAAAATGAACGTGGTTGGGTTACATTGCATGTATACAAATGAATTTGAACTACTATAATATATATATATATATATAAATGAGTCTTATTGTTAAATTTTATTGATGGAAGATCCAAAACACGGCATTAATGTTAATTTCTTTCTTTCTTTTTTTTTTTGTAAAAATAATCTTTAATGCTTCATGAAAAAGGAAGAAAACGACAATAACTGTGGTAACAAATAGCTGACGGGCACATGGAAAATACATGTGTGTAGTTTCGTTTTCTAAAAAATATAACTAATTATTTGGTTAACTAGTTAGTCCTCTTAAATGTGTGGTCAATTAATTCAAAATTTAATATGGGTAATTTTCTTTGATTTTTTAGGATGTCTTATAATCAATTGGAGAAATCATCTGATTGCCCGAATCCATTTATGTGAAAAGTATTTTTAAAATAAAATTACGTGGCAATCAAGTGATGTATATTTTTTCAATGGTTTTAGTGACAAAGTTGAAAATTCAAGTCATCAGACAGGGAAAGAATTACACTCTTTTATACTTCGGTCCCCTTGAGAAGGCTTGGAGAATGTATTAAACTCCGATTACATCATACAAGGATAGAATTTGATTTTTCTTTCTTATTATTGGATAAGATAGGTTTTTTTGGTAAAGATAATTGCATAAAAGTAATTTTGAGTGAGAGAGCAATTAATGAAAAGCGATTCTACGTGTGTTATCGCATTAAAAAGAATAGATAGTCTACAGCAGAAACGGATGTCAGGTCTGACCACCATTTGACGAGGTCTATCACTGAATCTTTTTGACCACTTTCGTCGTATCTCTCTATATGATCTTATCCTATATTACTAAATTTCACCGACAGCATTAATAGGATATATCAAGTTTTTTATATTGGTGGCGTGTTGTTGAGGGTTCCTAGAGGTCAGGGTTAACTTCATTGGTTATCCTAAATATGCACGCGATTATAAAAATTGTTATCAGTACCAAAAAAAATTGACAATTAATTTGTATTAATCATTGAAACGGTTCCTCCACTGTAAATTTCCTGTTGGTGTACGAAACCATCTCGCAGAACTGACACCTAGGCGGATGCACAATGCAAAAGTTTCAAATCATGTGTCTATGATCTGTTCTTAGTAATTTTTTAGACTCCAATAATACTAAACTCGGTATCTATGATTTATCTTTGGCGATGTTTAAATAAACCATATAAAAGCAAAAACACACATACAGACACACACTTGATTTTTATATCTTATCACTAATTTTGAATTTGATAATTAAGATCAGATGAAAAAAATAAAATACATGATACTAATAAAAATAAATAAGTAAATAACAGTACTGGCTAAGAAAAGCGAAAATTCTTTAGATGATAACTATTTTTTGGTGTTGAAATCAGTTGATCTCTTGTGGCCAACTTCGATAGCTAGAATGCAAGACTAGTGGAAGTGATCCTGCTTGAGTTCCCCATCCGCTTTGCAATGTTGAAAGAGAAAATGAAATTAGGGAGGTTACGAATATTATAATCATTGTTCAATGTGATTAGCCAATAATTCTACGTTGGAAATGCAGGGCGAGCGATCACGTGCAAGAAATGAATTTCTGAACCGACCATTTGACATTTATACATAATTAAGCAGACCTAACACATCTTTGACCCCCTTCTTTTGTCAATGTTGTCAGATTAATTTCACCGACTCCTTTAACTAAACATATATTTTACAAAGTATATAGTTATCCACACGCTTCATGACGATTGACGAGGAATCTATTACATATTCTCCTATAATCAAAAGAGGAAAAAAAAATGAATATGGACCGATTGTCTGTTTTGCTCCTTCTTTGGGGCTTTGAAGGTACCGGAGTCCACAGCATGGGCCTTAACGTGGGGCTCCTTCAATCTAAACTTGTAGTTACATCACCTATTTCCAGGTTTATTTATCTGATGGGCTGAAGATTTTAAGTAGCCCAATCCCGCAAGGAGAACACACTCAAAAGCAGTTCAAGTGACACGTTGCAAACTTAAGACCCATGGGTATCATTTGTATGTTATACAAGTTGTTCTTATATGGTAACAGCAGAAGGAAAATCATTATGTGGCCCATTTTATATGGACCACAAGTCCAAAACTGTTGGATTGGTTTTTTGTAACGAAGCCCTAAGACCTCCGGCCCTACTCTGGTTGATGCTCCAGCAAAAGATAGTCTATTCATGGCAAAAGTAACCCATACCCATTTGCTTTTAAAGGGTAGGATAAGAAAGGGGTCAATATAAATTTTAAATTGATTGACCCAAAAGCACCCCCAACTTGAATGGATTGGGTAAGGTTGGGTAAAGAGTTACCCATGTGACCCATTAAAAAATATTCTCTTCTTCTATTGAGAATCAAAGTTTCTGCTTCTCTTTGCTTCTCTCAAAATCAGAAACAAATGAAGATTTAAACTAAAACTCCAGATCAGACCCAAAATCCAACACCTCTTGTTTTTCACTTTCTCAATTTTCTCGGGAAATTTAGTTTCTAAGTCTGACCAAATGCAGACTGAAGTTGTTGCTGCTACTAGCATAGCATAGCACAATGAGATGAGGTACTTTCATTGTAATCCTGTGTCACATGTGAGATTTTTTTTTTAATATATATTTTTTGTAATAAGTTAAAAATTATAAAATAATATGTTAAAAAAAAACCTAACATGTTATTATTAAAACAAAATATGATGATGTGCAATATCAATCAGCCGTAAACTCTTAATTAATGAGTCTAATCATTTATAAAAAAAATAATAAATCATGAAGATTTGAATCATTCAAAATGAAAAATAGAGTTGATTGTTGAAAAAAAAAAGGATTGCACCACACACACACATATATATAACTACTAGTTGGCATTATGTTGTTTTCATTTTAATTTTAACAAACATATTTGTAATTTATTTTTTTATTTTTTATTTTTACAAGACAAGGTTTAAAAAAAACAAGAATAGCTTGGAAAAAATTAATAATTTGATCCTTATATTTTTTGAATAGTTTTGATTGAAGCCTCACGTTTTTTTCCTTCATATTGATTGAGTTTTTATATATATATATATTTAGATTATATGTATGACACATGTCATGCATTTAAAAGTATTTATTTACCTTACAAATTAACAGTATTATAACAAAAAGATTAAAAAAACAAAATAAAGAGTAAAAAGACTCCATCAATAAAAAAGAATGTATTGTTTCAATTAAAACAATTCAAAAATACAAGGATAATATTTAGGCAAAACTCGCTTCTTTTAAAATACAAGCTAACTGGATGCAATTTTGTTTAGTTTTTATTGCATATAGAGGAGGTTCTTAGGTCCGTCGCCTATTTTTCTATAAGAATTAGTTGTTGTTTATTATGTAGATGAGAATCAGATCGATGTGATTAAAGTGTATAACAGGGAAAAAAGAGAATATGCGTTCTTTAGGGTCACCTGGTGGTGGAATTTGTTTAACGGTGACTTGTACGTGGACCTCTTTTTGCACAGACCACTACATGACTGTCACTACCCATTATGTAAACGAAAATTGGGAGTTGTAAAAGAGAATTCTATGTTTTGCTTGTGGCTGCGTTCCATCACCATTATACCTCACGGACAGTCACCTCCATAAGCCCATTATATATATATAGTTTTGTGTGTGCATAATTCAACACGAGCTTTTGGAGCGACTCTAAATTAACCCGGTGGTTATGAGTCGAGCACGTTTGTGCTCTCATGGGACATGGGGAAAGGAGCACAAATCAAACAAGGGTCGTATAAAGCCATAAGTGGGCCTAATTTGGTGCGTGTTGGAACTTGGCAACAACGCAGACCCCAAATGGGACGAACTGTTTAGTAACTACTTAGCACATGTTGCGATTCATTTTTTGGCCATTTTGTGTGTTTGGCATACATTTACTTTGCTGGTTCATCAAACGCGATCGAATTAATTAATGGCTTGGTTTAGAGAACAATTAACTCTTAAAAATTACTGGTAATCATGGTAAAGTGGAACATTTTGTGGTTGAATATATATATATACGCGCACACGTACAACCAAATCTTGATTGTAACAACCAAAATAGCAAGACGCCTATCCTAGAGACATCTGAACCAAATCAACCACTAAATCTTCTCAGTTCTAAGACCCTTTCTTTTATACAACCCTCAATCTTCGTCCATTTTATGACCTTCTCTCTCCCTCTCCCTCTCTCTCACGCACAATCACAGGTACATAATAACCCTTCTTCGATTTTAAGGCTCTTCTTGTCCATGCATTGTTTATATATCATAGAGCCATGCACATCTCTCTTGTCCTAAAAATAACCAATTAAAGCGATTCAACATTCCTTTTTTCTGCGAATTTGTATAGATAAAGGTGACAGATCAAGAAATGGGTCGTGTTAAATTGGAGATAAAGAGAATAGAAAACAACACAAATCGACAGGTTACATTTTCAAAACGAAGGAATGGACTCGTTAAGAAGGCATATGAGCTTGCCGTCCTTTGTGACATAGACATTGCTCTTATCATGTTCTCTCCCTCTGGCCGTCTTAGTCACTTTTCTGGCAAAAAGAGGTGATTTATCGTATGCCTTTTCGTTTCTCCTATTGCTTATTAATTTGCTTTTGATAGTACTTAATTTTCATCCATAATATCGTGATTTTGGCTTGTCATAAAATTGTTAATGCTTTTAAAATTTTTATTATAAAGGGATTTCTATAACCACATGATTCGTTGCATATAGGATCCAGTACTGGTTTGTTTTAACAGGACCAATTCTAGCTCATGCATTTTTTTTCCTTAGCTTGATAGATTCCAAGCACAATGTGAAAATTTCAAAAACGGTTTTCAAGTAAATTTGGAGTAGATAACAATAATTATTGTGATCGTGAACAGTACTAACGATGGTAAATTTTTTCATATATTAATAGTGTCGTTTTGAAACTTTTCATAATCAGTGTACTATGTGAACATAAATACATACATAATCACATATTATCTTAAATCTTTGGAGATTAATCTATTTGATAAAAGATTTGTTTTGCAAGTTCTTTAATTTTAGTATAACAGGATTCAATTTTGAAAGGCATTGAAAGAATATATATATATATATATTGTGAATAACACCATATAGGAAAGGATTTAATCTTGATACATAAAAGAAATCAATTAAAAAATATCCTTATTCTTAAATAAAAAAATAAATAAAAAAGAGAGAGAGAGAGAGGAACATGCTGCCTTGTGTGAGCAACGATGGCTAGACAAATCGATCCATTGGCGAACAATGAAATAGATGTGCAGCTAGCTGGTCTGCCTTCCATTCAATAACATCAATGAACTAATTAAGTTAATTAGTAGGAAGCACAACGGTACAGTGCTTTCTTTAATTTAAGAAGGAATTGCTTCTTCAGTTGTCACTTGGGTATTTTTCTTCCCAAAAAAAAAAAAAAATTTTGCTTGTATATATTTTTTTTAACTTAGTCATTTTTTAATTTATTTTGATTTTTGAAAAAAAAATTAAGTAAAAAAAATGAAAGAATTAATGAGAAAATATGACAATTTTAAAATAAAATAATATTAAATTAAACATATTCAAGTAGAAAAAAATAAATAATTATTTTTTGATAAAAAAATACTTTATTTATTTTTTGAAAACAGAAGAACTAATTTATAATTTATTCTGGTAAACAATATTATTTCCCGGTGCGTTTCCCCTGCTACTCTGCTAGAAGCATACAGGAATTCGATTTTGGGACCAGTAGAGTTAGAGTACAGTACAGTTACACCCCTATAGATTCATTAATATTCCACTTGTTTCCCATAGTTTAACACTTTCTAATGTTACCCCTATAGTCTCTAAAAAGTTTCAATGTTATTAATATCCAGCAATCAAATGGCTAACAGGGTCTAACAAAACTTTCACCTTTTTCTAACATCTTTTTTCGAAAGATCCTATAACACGTGAAAGCAAAATTAACAAATGAAATTTGAAAAGTAAACTTGTTATTAGATTTCATTTGATATTTAAGACGATAGATGAAGCTTTTTTTTTTTTTGTGAAATTATGGGAATAACAATGGAAATTTAAACTATAATAGTAGGATTGAAATATTGACAAATGTATAAAATGCACTTTACACTTTAAGTTCTTCAAGTTGCAACTTCGCCTGCTCTACGGCAAAAATAAGAATTATAGCGATGAAAAAAGGTCAAAAAAAAAAAAAAAGTCCCTTGCATGCACTAAACTACTAAATCCAAGGAGACGAATGTATTGTCTGATATTTTTGGCTTAGATGGTAGCTAGGTGGGTGATTTCGCTGAATGTTCTGGACACTGTCTCTCTCTCTCTCTCTCGCAATAGGTGTCTCTCTTTTTTTTTTTTTTTTTGGGTTATTTGCTAGCTTCAGTCGCATAGCTGACTTTCTTTGGGCTTGTTCATGAAAAAGGAAAAAGGAAATGACTTTTTGGTCCTGGTCCTGAATAATGGGTTCAGAGTCAGAAGTGATGGCCTATTGTTGCTAGCTAAATTGGACTAATTCTTTTATCAAAGAGACCATTTGTTCAATGTCCATCTATAGTTTTCCTGCATGAGTTTCATTTTTCCTTCCTTCCGCTCACTTTTTTCGATGGTTTCTCAACAAGATTATGACGCCCGCTATAATTTTATTTGTTATGCTTGCTAAATAATCAGGATCGAGGATGTGCTTGCTCGTTTCGTTAATCTACCTGATCAAGAAAGAGAACTGTACGTCTCTATAAAAAAAATTATGTACTCGATTTATTAAATTAATTTTTTCTTTTTTTCGTAAGTCATATTCTTTTCCGCTTTTGCAGTGCTATAGTTTTTCCCGAACAAGACCGGTATCGTCGGTATGCCCTGGCCGATTCCCTTTATTTTATCTCTTCTCCTTTTTGTCTTTATGATTATTGCCTAATCTGAAATTCGTTAGTTTCTCTTGTTGCAGTGATATTCAGAACAAAGAGGTGATAGTTATAACTTTCATAGTTAACAATATATATATATATATATTGTCGCATTAAAATATCGTGATTAGAAGAATCATCTCCATTCCATCACCCTTTCTGTGAAGGGAAAAAAAAATGAATAAAGGGGAATTTCAGATTTATTGTAAGGAAATTATCAATCCTTTCCATCAAATCACACAATTTTCTCTCTGCAGTATGTGCTTAGGACGCTACAACAACTGAGAAGCGAAAGCGATATTGCTTTTCAACTTTCCAAGTTTGTCTACTCATATCTCTATTTCTCCTTATATATATATATGTATGTATGTATAATTGGTATTATTATTTTTTCATGATTTGCTTGTTACAACTTAATTAATTTTTTTGGTCTCCTTTTTTCTAACGTTCCTAATCATTCACTTTTCATGCCTTGGAAAGCCCAACAGTTATTAACTCGGAAGTTGAGGTAAGGAACATACGTTTTCTGAATCACTTAATTAGATGACATGGGTGACGAATATTTTATATGTTTCTTCTGAACTCAGTTAATGATCTTCACTATAGGAACTCCAACATGAAATTGCAATGCTACTACAGCAACTTGAACTAGCAGAGGAACAGATAAGGTTAGTTAATTAAGGTGAAAGAAAAAGAAATGGAATTCTCAGTTCTTAATGCGTGCCTGTTTTAATTTGTTCCTAAACTTACTGAAATTAATTGGTCCTAATACCGTAGGATATATGAGCCTGACCCAATAAAATTTACGTCTTTAGAGGAGCTAGAATCACATGAGAAACGTCTTGTTGACACCTTGGCACGTGTCATGCAAAGAAAGGTTGGAAGAACTAATTTATACTTATTTGTTAACTACCCTTTTGATTTTAAATTTTTCAAATATATATATATATATATATGAGTCCGCTTTGTGTACGTATAGCAGGAATATCTCCTGAGCAATCATCTATCTTCATTTGATCCATCAAGACTGGAGGTAATTTACTAAATTATTAGATACGTAAAATAATTAAAATCTTGGCATGAAAGAAGTGAAATTATTCTGAACTCAAAATACGTGGAATCACAGCAGGGGATGCCAACCTCTTTCGATAATGGTGTGGTTAATTGGATGCCTGATGCTGGTCACAGCCATGCCCAAATTTTTAATGCCGCTGCTTCCTTGAATGCTCTAAGGTTTGTCACTTCATTATTTTCCTTAGAATATAAAATTACTAAAATATTGTGTTAGTTAATATAGCGTAAGTGCTGCCTAAATCACCACCAAAAGATGTGGTCTAGTGGTGAGAAAATTCTCTTAATTTGTCAGGATTAAGATTCAATTCTCACTCTTAAGAATAATTAATCATAATTATTCTTTAATAGTATCAAGTTTTTGTTCATTTGGCCTAAAAAAAATTTAATAGTCGACGAATAAATAAAGGTATTTGAATGTATGCTGGTTTAGCTTATAAAATGATGGATTTAATCTCAATTAAAACAAAAATAAACCTCTATATAAAAAAAAAAAAGATGGATCATAATCTAACATATGCTAATTTTACTCAGAAAATGATAGATTTAGTCTCTATTGCTTTTTGAAAAACTAACCTTTATATGTGAAAAAAAAAATGCTGCCTAAATGAAATGATATATGTGTGTGTGTGTTTTGTGTGTGTGTGTGTGTGTGTGTGTGTGTGTGTGTGTGTGTGGGGGGGGGGGGGGGGGAGTGTTGGCGTTACATACTGGACCTAAAGGTCCAAATAAAGTAACAAGGAAGCTATTTTTTATTTCTAAACTCTCCGACTCCTTTAAAGTCTTGATAATAAATTTGTTTAAGTTCCCTGGACCCTTGCTAAGTCAAAAAAATTAAGCAAAAGCTTCTTCTACCGTGTGCAGAGATCTTTCGTCCACAATGTATGATCCATTTTTACAAGGAATTCACTCGAATGCAGAGGCACACAACATAAGAGAGTGCCCCAGTGATGAAAACTTTTCACAGTGGCCACCATATAATTCGACGGTGCTCCACTCCAATCCCATTTCTCCTTCCTTATACTCTCAAATTCAGGTTTTTTTCTAACACCAATACCAATTTATTTTAAAGGTCCAAATTAAAGAACTTATATAGTAGTATCTAGTTCATTGTGGACCTGGCAAACATCAGCTGTTTTCCCCGATATCACAAGCTTTTTGCTTCTCTCTCTGTTTTTCTTTTTTCTTTTTTTCCCTTTTATTTCAGAAAAATAAAAAATAAAAAAGTTCATTTATAAGTGGTAGTAGAGTCCTTGGGCTCACATTAATGCAAAAACCTGTTTAAAGAGTGTTTCCCCTCCCTGAGAATACTGGATAATATAGCAATTAATAGCGGAAAAATTTATTATGCAACCAGCATGGAATGGGGGGACCAAATATTCCAGATATGGTGCCACGTGAGCAGGTGGAGATCCCAATCACCAGCCCCCACATACAGGTGGACAATGAAGGTGCAAGCTATGAGGACAGCAAACCTCGACTTGATGATCCAGAGCACCAAACAATCTTTGAGTTGTACGGTTAATTTCAGAAGCTTTCAACGCTAGTATGAAATTCATGTAAAGCAAGTAGGATGACGGTGCTATATATCAATATTTGCAGAATGTTGCATAGAGTTTGCTGTATATACCGGCTAGTGTTATGATTTGCATAGTTTTTAACCTAGCTTGTACTCTAAAACTTTTGTTTAATTCTTTTATTTTATAAATCCACTCAGTTTTTGTTCAATGATGGAATTTAACTTGTGTGTATCAATACATTTGAATTGACATATATTCGGTGTTGTATGATTTTTGTGACTAATGGCTATAGAAAGAGGGGGGCTGGAGAAGCATAGGCAATTTTACTTTTAAAAAACAAATTATCAATAATTAAATTCTATCATACGTTCTCAAGACCAGTAAATTCAATTTAATTCTTTTTTCTTCATAATTCATACTTTATTATAATTCCTATATACCCTAACCATCCGTTTAAAAGTTTGATTTTTCATTTTTTTCCCTAGAAAAAACTTTACAGCAAATTTTTGCATGTGGTCTCTTTTCTACTGGTAAAATTGTTGTCCTCTTTTTGTTTATATATATATATAACTTTCTTTTCTTAACAAGATTAAAATACATCTATACAATGTTATCATCACCGGCGTGACCGATGGTTTTGCCAGGTAGGCTGCTAGTTCACCGATTAGCCAATCCATGGTTCACTTAAAAGTGCATAAGAGGTCAGGGTTGGCGATGGAGGCGTGTCTCTAAGTTCTAAAGGTTAATTTGGCGTTCTAATCTCTAAAAACAGTCCATACCATAAACTTGGACCGATTTAGTTTTCGTTCCTGGGTTTGTGAACTTAATCGATTGATTTAGTTCTGTTTTGATTGGTGGTATCAAATTTGGGTTTGATTTGGATTGAAAGACATTTTAGTAATCCATAAAAAACCAAGACTGTTTTTAACTCAATATATATATATATATATATATTTTAAATTATGAAGATCAATTTTTTAAAATCAAATGTCTTTTTTTAATTTTTATTTTGAGTAATTCAAGTTGTAATTTTTTTTAATCAAATGTTTCTGTTTTTTAAAAGGCATTTTAGTTTTCGTTTTTCAATCAAACACCACCTTATTGTAGCTAGCCTAACAGTTATGTTGTTAGGGGGCCTCTGGGAGCTTACGATTAAAAAGTTAGAACCGGACTTCTGTTTTATTTCTAATCCCTTCTCCAAAGCCTTAGCCTCAGCAAGAACAACATTTCCCTTCTCCAAAGCCTTAGCCTTCCCCGGTCTCCCTGTTCCCTAGGTCTCCGAAACAATTGTCACTTCACTTTTTTCCTCCGATTTCTAAACATTCTCTTCCTCCCTAGTTTCAGCATTCTTTCCCTCCTCTTCATTTACTCTCCGGCTCCGATTCGTTGCGACAGATCCTACTTTACTAGATCCAGTAACATGTCTCCTCGGATTGCGTCTCAACTGTGAGGTTCCCTTATGAACGCTGAATTGGACGAGGATTGATGTTAACTCCCCGAGTTTGACGGTGTCGCAGTCGCAAAGATCGAATGATTTGTTGGGAGAGAGAAAAGTGGAGTTTAGAGTCGTGCCATTGAAGGAATTGAAGTCTTGGAGGCTCCATTTTCCTGATTCGGATACGATTACTAGGTGCTTTGAGGGGATTCCAGCATCTTTGATAGGGACGTTATAGCCTCAGACAACGTGGTCGATTCGGTCTGTTGATCTGGATCTGAATTCTAAGGTTTCACCTTCTCTAGGACCTCGCACCGTTGTCAGTTTTAGCATTGGAGGTTCCATTGGCAGAGAGAAACAATTAGGGTGTTTGAAATGTCGGAGTGAGATTCAACCTGTAACTAAATTAGTTGAATTGCCGTTGAATAATAATAAAAAAAATAATCATAACCAGGCGGCGAGGTTTTATTTTTAGGATGAGATTGTGACAAATACCATATTTTTATCTATAACAAAGAAAAGGATAAACTACAAAAAAATCCTCACTACCTTAGCATTATAATGCTCTTTGGTTTTTTCGTTTAACAAAAAACTATCAGACTTCTGTTTTATTTACTGTTTTATTTAATTTGTTTTTTTTTCTATGTCAATTACACGTGACAGACATGCATCATATGACAATCACATCATTGCCACATGTAAAACAAGTTTTACTTATTGACCGTATGTTGCCACATGTAAAACAGGTTTTACTTATTGACCGCATGTGCGTATAAAAAAAATTAACGAAAAATCAATAGAGACAATTAATTATAAAAAACATTATCACTTAAATTACTTAAAAAAAAATTTTAATCACACTTGATTGAAAAAAATAATATCTTTATAAACTAAAAATGTAATTAACTCCCCAAAAAATAATAGATTGAATCTCAATCAATACACAATTTAATATATATATTATAATATGATTACTATAATATTTTATTTTGATTCTTGTGCTTTAAAAAAAAAAGGTTCAAAACGCTTCACTATAATAATGATCATTAAACTTTTATTTAAACCATGATGATTTCATGAATATCAAATATAATTTTTTTTTATATAATCATAATTTCATTTGGATTTACTCAAAATTTTACAATAAATATATGACATCAATAAAATAATATTACAGTCTCAACTATTTCATAAATTAGAAAATTAGAAACTTTAAAAATTATGATAAATGTTTTTTGAGCAAATATAAAAGAAACCCAAATGAATTACAACTTTTTAAGTGTACAAGGAGGGTACCATCAAATATAAAATAAAAATAAAAAGAAAAAGAAAGCGAACGTATTGTTGTACCAGTAAAATGATAGTAGCACTTTTTGATCTCTTATGTCATGAAAAGGTCTAATGACTAAAATTACTTCTAAATTATTGGAGTTGTGATAATTTAAAATTTTTATTATTAATTTAGGTTATTTAGATGCTAAATTATTATTTTATGAGCAAAAGGTATTTTTTTTCTAATTATTTGTCATGGTCAAAGCATTAATCATTAATTTAATTTTTTAAAATGAAATCACTTAAACAATTCATTTTAAAAAAATTGATTTTTTTAATACAATAATGGTTAATATGGACAACATGTCGTCCTAATATGTGACATCATGTCGTCTTGAAAAGCTATTAAATGAATTGAATTGAAGAGTGACTACACTATTAAATTGTTGTTGGGATTACTTCTAGAACTTATATTTTTCAATAACAAAATTCAAATCCGATTCAATTCCTTTTTTTCCCCTTGTTCTTGACTACAAACATTTGATTGAATCAATTATAACCTCTCTTTTTCTTTTTGTTCAATTTAATTAATTCAATTGATTAAATAGTACCTCGAGATGACATATTGTCCGTATTAATTATTATTATATATTTTTTTTAAATATATTTTTTCCAAATAAATAATAATAATAATAATGATGATTCAATGCTTATATATATGATGTCGTTTAAACATTCAAGTTAATTGTTAGCGTTTTGATAGTAAAAAATAATAGAAAAAGAATAATATTTGTATTGTTGCTCATCGAATTCGGTCTCAAAGCGTAGTATGTCGACACTTCAATTTTTGATCAAGAATTTCGTGATAAAATAATATGGGGTTCGGTTTCGCCTAACAAGCCATTAGGACTTTCAATGGGTACTCAATTTAAAGAAAAAGATAAAATAAAAAGGAATGTTATTAATTGGAAGAGATAACATACAAGAGATAGAGAGAAATTCGTCAATGAGAAGAGACAAAACTCACTAGAAAAAACATAAATGTTATAAATCGAAAGATACAACACTTATATTTGATTCACGCAGTTATAACCTCTCTTTCTCTCTTTGTTCAATTTTAACTAATTCAATTGATTAAATAATTCCTCAAGATGACATATTGTCCGTATTAATCATTATTATATATTTTTTAAAAAATATTTTTTTTGCAAATAAATAAATAATAATAATAATAATTCAATGCTTATATATATGATGTCGTTTAAACATTCAAGTTAATTGTTAGCGTTTTGATAGTAAAAAATGATAAAGAAAGAATAATATTTATATTGTCTGCTCGTTGACTTCGATCTCAAAGCGAGTATGTTGACACTTTAATTTATGACCAAGAACTTTGCGATAAAATAATATAGGGTTTGGTTTCGTCTAGCAAGCCACTAGGACTTTCCATGGGTACTCAATTTAAAGAAAAGGATAAGATAAAAAAGAATATTATTAATCGAAAGAAATAACATACAAGAGATAGAGATAAATTCTTCAATGAGAAGAGACAAAGCTCATTAGATAAAATATAAATGTTATAAATCGAAAAATATGATCATTAATCATCGAAACACTCGAAACCATTTGACTCGCAATCGGAGACGGATCAACACCTTTTAGGTTACAATAAAGAAATTATTGCAAGCGATAAAAGCTGTCGAACTACTTGCAGGAATGTAGAAATTAATTGCTATAGAGTAAGCTAGAAAACTTGAATAAATTTTGTGTTGAAAAGTCTTGTATGATGATTGTTGTTCTTGATTCTATCGGTGTCTCTTCTTTAAATAGCTCACGTTCGATAATTGTCTTGGATTTGAAGTCGGATGCAAACGAGTTATTGGTAACTCGTCCTTTCATTTTCTTTAAACACATTGTTTCATTGAATTTGGTTGATTATAAGACTAAAAGCATTGTTTCATTTAAGTCTTACTTGTTTTGTCGAGCTTTGTTGGGTTATAAGATCAAACACATCATTTCATTTAACTATCATTGTTTCGTTGAAACTTGATTAGTTATAATATCAAAGGCACCATTTCATTTAGATCTCAATATTTCATTGAAGCTTGGTTGGTTAGAGGACTCGTTTCATTTAGGTCCCAATGTTACATTGTAAGAGGATACCATATTTGATCGACGTGTGGCTTTTTAAATTTTAAGGTGCCAGCAATTTGCTTAAAAAATAATAATTTGATATCCAAATAATCCAAATTGATAATAAAAATCTTATAAATTGTTATAACCTCAATAGTTTCGGGGTGATTTTTTGCATTAAGTTGTTATAAAAATGAAATTACTTGTATTTTTCTAAAATAAAATGATTTATTGGTTGTGAGAAAAAAATTATGAATTTTTTAATTTGTCACTAATAACTTTTTTTTAACCGGATTGAAGAGGTGATTTTAGTGCATGAACAATGGTATGGGAATATCCCGCGTCATGAGACAAAAAAGGAAAAAAGAAAAAACAAATACACATTTAAGTCTCTTATTTTGTACTTCCTTTTATTATTATTTTAAAGGCGAAATGGACAAAGTTGATTATGGCTTCAAATCTGCATAGATTGGAATAAGATTTTGTTAGATTCTTTACCATGAAAAGTTGCATAATGTTTATAATTAAATTCATTTCTTTTTATACATAGATATACATGAATCCGAATTAGGATCTTCTATAATCTGTAAGTGATAGATGGAGAGAAATTTTATAATATTCAAGGATTAACTAGTATAAATTATTCCATAAAGAGAGATAGACACAAACTGAAGAGAGAGAATTAAAAAAAATTAATAAAATAACTACTGTATATATATACTAGTTACTATTTGAATATTATAAAATTTCTTATAACTAGGTTTAGAAAATATGAACTTATCCTCACTTTTCATAATGGAACTAATATGACGTTATCCTTTCATTTTCATTTTGAATTCCATATGTAATTCAATTTATTTTTTTACTTCAATTATGTGTGTTAATTTTATTTTATGGAGTTTAATTATAAAAAAAAATGCGTAAAAATGATGGTGAGATGTGGGGGGGGGGGGGGATTCCCCACAGTAAGAAGAGGTACCCATCATATCGTTTCTCATTAGCTAAATTACAACGTCAAGCATACTACATCTAGCGACGGGCGATTCAATTTGCTACCAAAAATATGTACAACGGAGCAGGTTTGAGATTGTGTCGCTATTCACACCGACATTTCAAAAGCAAAACAGAAATTGCATGATTAAGACGTTTCCTTGACATATGCTAATTTTCCTTCTGACAAGACGGACAAGCGTGCGTGGGATTTAGTATCAGACCAGCGTCAGGAAACTAAATATTTTTACATTTGTTTTCATCCCTTGCTTTCATCCTGTAAAACTGCCTCATTAACATCGCCTTCCTTTCCTTGTGTGCCAGTTGTCTGGTCAATCGGTACAAGACTTTGCCAAGTGATTTTCCATGCGTACGATATTCCTATGCCAATCCACATACTAACTGATTAAGAAAACATTCATACGAATTCCTATCATTTTACTCATTAATTTAAAGTTATTTTGAGTCCAGTTGATAAGTTGTTTCTTTGACTTTCAGCTCTAAAAATTAACTGTACGTAACTTAAATTTACTTCAAAGTTTAGTCCATAATTTTTTTTTTTTTTGGTTATTTTGACTGGATAAATTCATTCAAATTCTATAGAGCGCTTAAATCATTTTTATTTCATTGTCATATATCCAACACATTCAGTTGACTTCAAATTATTTTTTCAAAGGTAACTATTTAATTTACTTTTTTTTCTTTTGTGTGTTGAAAAACTCATTGATTAACTTAAATAACATTTTGATCATAATTGTAAAAATCATTGGATTAAATCATGAAGTATTATTTGCGTTTCATAAACTTACAATCATTATCTCATACCAAAAATACTCTTGCTTTTATCATTACAATGTCATGGTGGCATTAATTTAGAAGACAAAGAATGCACTTCAAAAAAAAAATGTAAATAATATTCAAAAAAATGATTTATCATAGATTTTTTTTTTAAAAAAAAATTACAATGCAGCTAATTAAGAAGATCCAATTAAAAAATATATATAATTATGAGTTTACAATTGTAAAAAGATCGGCACTATAAGTTCATAGTATTGTTGCTTGTCTAATCCATCCAAGAGAAATTCAGTTTCGACAACTTAAAATGAAGCATGAAGTTAATTATTACTTGTGCTCACATATGATTTACCCTATATTTTGTACTTTTAAATATCAGCCAGAGATGCTGATGAATTAGTATTTCTTCTACTTTTTTTTTTATATCAACATATTGTTTTTCCTTGTTATAAGCCATTAATTTTTTTCAAATACTAAAAAATATTCAATGTTGATAGTATTGTTAGATATAAACAACCGTAGAGTATTCTATTATATATAGATAGATAAATGGATAGAATAACAGCATAATTAGAATAAATAGAGAAATAGATAGAAAGTCATAATTAAAACATAGATATCAATAAACTCTTTTGATAGAAGATAAAAAAAACATAATTTTTAGGCGAGAGTAATTTTTTCCTTTATGACCGTTATGCGCGGGAGCGCGCATATTCTATTTGAATTCAAATAAAAACTACAAAAAAATAAAAACATCAAAAACTCTAAATATACACACACACATACCAATCTCCTTTCGTTAAACATATATAATGCTTCTTTGCCTTGGAAAAAAAAAAAAACAAAAAAAAAAGAAAGAAGTCTTATTACCAAAATAGAGGTGCTAAGTTTTTCCTATAAAATAAAGTTCTAAGGTCTCATTTCTAACAAGAAAACTTTTTTTTCCCCTTATTCATGTATGTTTTCCTTCTCCTGCCATAGATAACATCACTTCCATATACTTTACTACTGTTTCTAGCTCATTGTATCATCGTATTACTAGCTCTCTCTCGCCTAGCATTCCCTCATCTCTAAGGACCACCTCCAAAACATCAAAAGAAGAAGGGTCTTGAGAGAAAAGTTTGTACCCTTAATTTCTTTCAGTTTAATTGTTCATTTTCCACTTTTAATTATGATCTAATGACAGTTGATTGATTCCTAATTATCTGATTAATTTCGTTTTTCTCTTGTTTCTGTTTAATTGAATGCTTGTATTTTCAGGTCTCCAGGGGGTTTAATCTCGCATTGGTCGAAGATTTTGCAGGTGAACCATATGAATCTCATCTTGAGTCTTATCAATATAAATTTTTTTTGCAAACTCTTATCAAACCACGCACACGCACACACTTTTGGTCCTGATCTTTGTGGCACCCCCATAAATTTTTAATTTTTTTTCTCCTCAGTCATGTCTCAGTCCTTTGATTTTACATACATGCAAATATCTCTGCACACAAGTTACATGTCATAGATAGCCTAATAGGTGACCAGGTTGGGGGCACCTTGGATCGTCCCTTTACCTGCTACTACTGCAAAAGTGGAACAGGACTGAGTTCATGGAACCGGCCGAGATTATGCTTGGCAGATGGACCCCACGCTCAAAAAAAATTATTATTATTACTTTTTCTAGCCTTATGCCCTTAATTACATTCGTCTACAAGTGTTTGGGAAACTCACCTAAAATATGATTAGAAATTTGAATAATTTTGACACGTAGACCTCCGTTTTCACCATGCAAAGCCGCATCCATTCATCTTAACAGATAAAGTAGTCATTCACCTATAGCTGGCTAACAAATGGAGATTTTTGTACAAGGAAAGCTTAGCTGGACCTGAGCATAACTGTCGTTCCAAACTGAATGTTGAAAGTCAAATGATTCCCTCCCTTGAAAGCAGCCAATTGTATGTTGTAGGCCCCATATGAAAATAAATCTAAATCTGTCAGGTGTAAAGAAATTATCAGTAAAACAAAAAATGATAATCTCAATTCTTTTTAAGGTCACCACAACGACACATACTGTGATAACTGAGAAGTTGATGTTAAATTCATTCTACGAGCAACTCATTTATTCCAGTAAAAGTATAATTAAAAATAAGAGTTCATAGAAATTTAGTTACATAAGCTGTCAGAAACTAAATATTATATTTTTATCATTTATTTATATATTTTATCATCAAAAGAAACCATCTCATATGAGATGTTCTAATGTTTTTGGGGGCTAAAGTAAAACGCTCTTTGTTTATTTATTTATTTTTTCCTTTTCATTTGAATAGGCTGAATAGGCTGATTATTAGGCCATAATCAAATGATCTCCTTAGTTAGGCAGCAAAAAATCGTCGCTACAAAATTCATTGCCTAAAGGAAATCAGAAAGGCGACGAGTTTAGTCTGTGGTATAAGGACCCTTTCTTAATGTCATGCATGCACCGTCTAGAGTGTCACCAAAGAGCTTTATTTTTGTAGTGACACGCATTATAGTCGTTCTAAAATTTGGGAAAAACAACCAATTTACCATTATACTTACTAGCTAGTTTCAATCTACCCTTCAACTTTTGATTATGTTTGTTATACCCTTGGATTATGGTAAAATTTTCAATCTGAGCTTCTATAAGTGAAATCTATGAAATTAAAATTTAAAGAGTTTGCACTTGTGGCACATGAAGTTCCGTAGTTTTATATCTTTATCATTCCAACTCTCGATCTTAATTTAAAAATATACTAGATCCAATTAAAAATGCAAGAATAGATTAAGGATCAACTCTGAAAGTTGGATGATAAATTTGTTGATTCATAAGAATTCTATAAGCAAATATTTCATCTTATTATTTATCAAACATATAAAATTCATGATTGTTATTTTTAAAAAACTTAAATGAAATTTACAATTATTGTTTTTTGAGATTTTTTTTTTTAATTTTTGATGAGTTCGGATTTAAGTAAAAACAGAAATATAATACTTCAATGTGCCTCCCTTTTTATATGATTTTCTTTTTATTCGATTTCCAAATAATTACAAGTAATTTAAGATTTAGTTGACATACTTGGGATTAAATCTTGATTTTGATTCCACTAATGAAACTTGACCATTTCCAATTTTTTGTCCGTAAAGATTTTTTCTCCTAAATAAAATCAAATACTCGCGTCATCGTTTTATATTTTATGTCAAATTCATCTTTTTGTTGAAATGAAATTTTAAGACTTGTTTCGAAAATCCGCTTTTTTGTTGATTGTGAAATAGGGTTAATACCTTCTTTCTGTTTTACTTCTCAATATTATTTTCAATACTTCATTTCTTTAACTTCTGTTTTGATGACAACATAATCATATTATTTTATATTTTCAGAAATCTTGATGGAAGCTGCATTAAATGACGAGCAAAGAGTTTTCTTGGAGGTTAATTTTGACCATGATGATGGCCAAAATTTGATTAACTATTACACTATTCAATCCTCTTCTAATAAAACAGATGTAAATTTATCCCCATGATAATTCAAGTCTAACTTCTATTTCTTCTTATATGAAATCAGTTTTATTGCAGCATTTTGTATATTATATATTTTAAAACTGCAATCATTTGATTTTACCTTAGAATATTTTTGCATTAAAGATGTCAGATCCATATATATTAAAATTTCACTAATGGTAGCAGGAGTTTGGGGAGCTAGGATCGTCAACTGGAAGCAATATGCCAACAATGAATGAAGTAACTTCGCTTCAGGACCTCAATCCTACACTTGTTGATGGAGCACCTTTGGATCTATCACAAGAAGATGTGCCAAATTTGGAAGGACAAGCATCAGCATCTTTCAATTCTCCATTGATGGTAATGCCTCAATGCTATTTTCCAATAATATGATTATAGTTTTGTTAACTTTAACCTTGGCTTTAGAATTTCATTTTTATCATGCATCCATCATATCAGCACTGAAAAAAGAAAAAAACACATGTAGAACAATCACTACAAAGAAGAAGAAAAAATGTTAATTATAACTTGCTCGTTATAAATTATTAAAATTAATATATTAGTGTCTATAGTCGAAAAAATAATTAATTAAATAATATTTTGATCAACGTTAAATGTGCTTCTTTCTTCCATCAGAAAAAAAAACATTGAATATGCTTAATTTAATTTTTTTTCCTCTCAAAACTTTTTTTCTTGTCAAATTTTCTCATCTCACATGCTTCAATTCTCTTTTCTTTTCTCTATCTTTCAAAAAATAAAAATTGAAAAATAAAAATAAAAACTGAAAATTGAAAATTGAAAAGGAACATAGAAGAGACAAAATGCCTAAGTTTTAAGTGGTCTAAGAACATAGGGATGAAACGATAGTTTTGAAATTATGAGGACTACTAAGTAATTTAGCTAAAATACAAGGACTGAGTTACAATTAACTCAAGAGAAAAAAGATCTTCTTGCTGTAGTAATAACATTTAGCGACAACATTAAAACGTTGCTCAGATATCCACATTTATTAAAAAAATCGGTAGATCCACTTTTAAATAAGCATAAGTAATTAAAAGTTGATTGTCACAACAATTCTGATAAAAGATCACTAAAACAGACATTATATAGAATGAGCTAATAGTAGTGATGCTTCATTGCCTACACGCAAGCTTTTAAAGCAGATTTAATTGTATTCTTGAAATTTTTGTACCTTCAGCTTCATAAAATTCATGCCATATGACTTCTTTATTTTTGTTTATGGTTATCAGCAAGACAACGAATTACCAAAAGGAGGAGACTATCAGCCTGAAATGTTTGATGAAAACATTTATCTGAGCTTCTCAGAAGATGAAGACGGAAATATTATTTGCGGGATCTCAGACTTTTCAGTTGCTAATGCACCCAACTTGCCGCCCTTGGATTTCGAACCACCTTCTTTCAGTAATCCATCAATGGGTGCAGCAACATCTGCTTTTCCAGCAGTGGTATTCATTTATTTCTCCTTTTTACCAGCCATAGAAGTTATTAGTTTGTGTCACTATATATGACTAATCTTCAATAATTTGAAAATAAGTAAGGTAATAGAACAAAAATAATAATAATAATAATAATAAGTTTATGTGGATGATTTTTCTCAAATCACTTCATGATATTTTTCAATGCAAAATTATGTTCTTAATTTTTGTTGAAGATTTTCCTTTTTCAGTAGAATCCTGTTATGTGCATTCAAGGATTAATTTTTTTAAGAAATATTCTATATTGGTTTATTCTTTACAACTCTACGTTGAGTTGTAAAGCCCAACCATACACCAGACAAAAGTAACTACATTAGTAAGATAGTTAAAAAAAAAAATTAAATGTTTTTTTTTTTTTTTTTGTGACATATAACTAATGTGTACCTACAAATAAGGAATTTGTTTCCTGTGTTGTGCCAATTGATTTGTGGCTTCCCAACTCAACCGAGATAGGATTAATTAGTGTAAAAAAAACGGAAGCTTTACTCTTTTTTTTTTTTTTTTTTTTTTTCAGCAGGAGCATGTGGAGCCAGGATTATTGGATGAACCTTGTCTAAATCATGCAAACTCTGGACAGAGCATGGTGCAGTCTGCATGCTCAGCTTTTGACCCTTTAAGTGGGAATTCTACAAACGCAGGGCAAACTAGATCATCATTGGTTAATCCTGCATTACCAATTCCAACACAGGTATACTCTCCAGTGAAGGTAGATTCATTGATTGACCACTTGAACATGAGGCTTTTAGATGCAAAATGTATTAAATTTAGCGTCTCTTTTTATAACATGACATGCATTTAAGTGATGCATTTAAAGATAGGGGAAAAATTACAATTACTAACCATGATTGTTCTTTTGATCAGATGGAAATGATCCCACAAAACGTGATGATGCCACCATTTTCAATGGAAAATGATGTCAACTGGACACCCAATCAGTTCAATTCTCAAGCACAAGATACATTCCCATCTGAGCTTCTCTTGTACGTCATTTTAAAGCATATTTTATCAGATGATTACTTGCAATAAGTTATTCTTCAGTTTTCCTTATTATTCCCAGAAATTAATACTGTTCCTGAATATGAATGCAGGCCGCCACCGGTGGTTCCAGTCAACCAAAGCTCCATGTTATGCAATGCTCAAGTTGGACAGAACATGGTGGATAACAATGTGATCAACAATAGCATTCAACATACAACTCAGTTTCCAACTTCATTTCCTCAAACCATGGTGAGTACTCATGCTTACCCATTGAATCAAAAGGTTTGTCTATTAGTGTTTCCATTAATGTTGACCATGTTCAAATTGTTTATTGTTCACAGACACCAATGGGAATTTTAGATGGAACATCGTCCTGGATCAACCAAAATGAACCAAATTGGCTTCTTCCTAACCAGAACACTCCATCAGAGTACATAATGTTCATCGTTATTTAAATTAAACTTGTTTTTGTTGTACTTATCAGTAATGACAATTGAGTTATACTAAATGAATTCATCATATTTGAATTTAGGTATCAGCCTAATCAAATGATGGCAGCTAATGTATTTGATCTCCAATGCACCAATCCCATGCTACCAGGATCATCTATGCCTTTGAGGTAGCTAAAATGATATCAAAAGCTGAGTGGATAATGAATGGGGCATACAATTATGCATATATATATATATATATATATACACACACAAGTAACTAACAAATTTTGCTAATTTAGGCACCAGCAGTTGTCTAATCAGTTCCTATTGAGCAATCAAGTGCCTGGGATGCTACCTGGACCTCAACCTTCTATGAATCAAAGGTATTAGCCTCAAATATACACTTTCTAATTGTGAAAACTATAAACTTGACCAAATTGATGAGGCTTTTTCCAATATAGGCCCCAACAACTCCCATATCAATTTAATCAAGTTCCAGTGACGACTAACGTGTATGATCCGCAAGGTTCTATGATCATGTTGCCAGAGTCTTCTCCAACTTTGTGGTATGTGGTACTCTTTCACTGGAACATTTCAATTTGGGAAGTTAATCCAGAATAAGATTTGCAATTCATTATTTAGATTTTTTGTGCTTCAGCTAATTAACCATGAGGCTTTATTCGGCTTATGAGTTTAGGTTCCAACAAATTCCTCCTCGCAATCTTCAAGTTTCAGGAGAACATGATGTATTGAATTCACAATATAATAACTCTATGTTATTCGGTCCTACTGCATCCTCAAGGTACCTTATCTATCTCTGCACCCTCTTTGTGTTTATTTTCTTGATATAATTGAGACCAAAACAATTCTAACATTAGGTTCCGATAATCAAGTAGTAACCGTCATCTTATGCTCAGCATGTTTGATCAGCTAAACTTTAATTTTTAGGCCTTTATGAGCTTTCTTACCTTTTTTGTGTACATATTCGAACTAAAAAATCAACGGAGTTTAATTATTCGAATAACTAGTCCTAACTTTACGTTGTGATATCATATTCCAAGTTTAATCATTTGAATATTTTTAGGCATCAGAACTCCTTCACTCATCAACCTCAGCCGGGACAAGTCTATATGACACCGAATGCAACCACTTCACAACATGGACGTGGCTTCAATCAACCTGAAACTTCTTTGATTGCTCCTTGGTATGCAGTTTTTCATGTTTAATATTTCCTATATAAGGTTTAGTTCTTCAATTAAAAAAGTAACACCATAGCCTGAAAAGGAACCCAGCAAGCTAAACATAACTTCGTAATGCTTCATATTGTTTGTAAATGATTTTGGATTCAGGATTCAATACTTTTCTAATCAAGGCCAAGTCAATAAAGCTGCTGTTATGCCTAACATAGATAATATGCAACAAGAGAACTTGGTGCCATGGAACTTTGGCAACTCTACTTGGTACTCGACTGACTTCTAGCTGTAGTGTTTATATATATATATATATATATATAAACCATTGATATTTACTGCTTAAGAGACACTACCAAGTATTGACAGATTTTTATAATATGATAACTTTATTCATATACAGGTCCCAGACGGATAACCTACAAGTCCAAGGATTGCTGAATCAATCAAATGCCTCAAATTTTGGCCTCGATACTTCCCTGCAAAGTCAAATTATGGGTTTATATACTCAACAAGTAAAATGTCTTACTTAATTATCATTTGTAATTTTTTCCCCACACATTGTGCAATAAACTAACCATCAATTGCATTAGCAAAACAAGGGTAAGAGCACAGAAGTAGTCTCTCATCATCCGGATACGGTGTCACTGTTGAACAACCGCAATGAGGTAGGTATTCCCTGCTTATATAAAAAGTTTAGACATTTCAGGTTCTCTTTTTAATTTAATTGTTTCTTCAAATTGTTTTTAGAACATGATTTTAGGAAGTCGTAGCCATGGAAACAGCCATTACGAAATTGGAGAATCATCATCTGCTAAACGCCCAAGGGTATCAACTTGTCCGCTTAAAAATGTGAATTTTTTTTACATTATACATTTCAAATTTAATAATGCCTTCTTCTTCCAATCTCATGTAGACGGAATCGACACTGAGTACTGAAGATCAAGAGAGCTTGGATGTTTTTAGTTGTGATTCAGGGTAATTTTATTGAATTCAAAGTCAATGTTTCATTCACTTTCATTACACCAACGCCACATGTTTTCTGCTTTTATATATATATATATATATCACATTTGATTGAAAGGATTCATCAATTGCAGGCAAGCTAAAAGTGCCATATACGATCCATTGTTTGAGGGGATCGGTCTGCAGGTTGATCCTCATTTGAGGATGCTTGCTTTGCTTTGATCTAATTGCAGAAGGTAATTGCTTCAATATAGTTTCCTTTCTTTTTGCCCTATATTAAAGTCCTGTGGTGTTTCGATACAGCCATGTTAGGTCTGCCGACAACCTGTCTATTTATCAGACAATCCTTACAAATCACAATACCCTGCCACTAATGTATAATAGGGGATTTGATCTTTTACTTCATCATTTTGCAGGAAGTGCTGCATGCTCTGCCAATAAGGGCTACGATCTTCTTCGAGCTTGTCGTCGATGGAAGATTAAAACCCCGAAAAACATTCTGGACTATTTTATGCATCCAAATTGAAATTTGCCTTGCATCTACATTTTGAAAAATGTTATTATATTATGGGATTAGTTTTTTTAAAAAAAAAACTATGCTTGGAATTTGAATTTTCTTTAAAGGATATTATTTCTCTTAGCAGGTTTATATCATTGGTAAGTGTTGATTTTGGGCTAACCTATGAAATTTTGTATTAGATAATAAGATGGCAAAACGGTATTGGATAGATAACAAAAAGGATTCATCTACGAGTCTGGGATTATTAAGCCTATAGACAACTTGATTCGATTTAACTAATTGCTGATTTTCACGGAGTAATCATAGCAATTCTAACTAAACTGATTACATCTTTCTTTCTCCTTTGTGTCTTTCTTTCTTTGTGTCTTCATTTTTCATTAACTTGAAAACAAATAGGGGATCTTACTTGGTTCGTTTGTTTTGAGTGGGCTCCCTTGAAAAGCTAGGTCTTTTGTTTACCAGGTAATTTTGGTCTTTTAAAGTAGCTTAGTCAGTTTGTCTCTCTCTCTCTCTCTCTAATATTTTTATATAATCATCTATCCTATTTTAACCCTTCCAAATTCACACTCTCAGACCCGAAACCTCTTCCCATAAAAATTCAAAATCCTCTCCCTCTCTAGATTCTTTTTCTCTCAAAACAGGAATTAGAAAACTCAAATTCCTCCAATAGCACCACCTCATCCATCTCTTCCCCCAACCGCACCAAAAAAAGAAACAAAAAGAAAAAAGAGAAGGCACCTCAAATCTTCAGTAAAGAACCCAAGGCCAAAAACCGTACGAAAGTACTATAGTTCTTTTATGGCATAGGAAGCAGGATTTTGTTTTTTTCTTTAATCTTTTTCTACCTTCAATTATTTTGAAATTTTCCATAAATTACGCTATGTGGATGCTGTACGGCTTATCATCCCAAATTGTTTTTGCTACAAAACAGAAAACAAGTTGTGTACATCAATGCATTTGTCTCGGTGATGCTTTCCTTCCATCTCTGTTGATATCTAAAGCCATTTTATTGTTAAAAGATACTGTTGCTTTGGCGCTTTTTTTATTTTCCGTCCAAATCACAGCCTCAAGGGCTGAAATAATATGATAGATTCACTAGATAAGTATGGGAACCACATACCCTCAAAATTTATGCCATGGTTGTGGCTGTTATTTATGCGGAAGTAATGTAGGATTTGAACGTTAATATATATATATTGTCTTCTTACGGCTGCACCAAAATTTGAAAAATAAATAAATAAATAAAAAGCTGCAAGGGTTCGGACCCAAAGAATAGTTTTTTTTTTTTTTTTTTTTGGTTTTATGGAAAGGTCCGTTAGATTATTATGTACTATACAGTAAATTAATTCTCTTCAATTAAGTAGTAACTAAACAAACTAAAATTATTATAATCTAAATTTTTTTTATTTAAAAAAACTATAATATATAAGACCGCTAAATTATGTTTGTTTATAAACCCAACTATTGATTATATATGAAATCTAACTTCCTAATTCATGGTAATTGTAAGATAAAATTCTTTCTCTTTTTGTTTTTCTTTTTGTTTTTAAGATTCTTTTGTCATTTATAAGAAACCTACTACTTTTCATTAAATTAAACGAAGAGTTTGGACATAAAACTTAATTAAGAATTTCTAAATATTTTAAAAATCCAATCGAGATAACAAAGAAATAAGTAAAATTGAATCCATAATCAAACAAAATCACACGTTACCCTCAATCTTTAAATGTCTCTTTCTTTCTTTGTCTCTCTTTTTGTGAATTGATAAATTGATATTTAATATAAATTCTCATTCTTGTTTTTTTTTTTACATATAAAAAAAAATTCACCAAATAACAGGTTCATCCCTTATTGTTTCCATGTTCTGTCATCCCAATCTAAAAACTTAAATTGTTAGGCGAAACTTTAAAATATAATTTCTATTATTTTATAACATACAATCTTAAATGAAAGTCTTTTAAACTTGAAATTTATACATATTCATATTAATTGGTTCTTAATTAATTAAAAAAGAAATATAGGTGATGAAATTTGAACTCGATAATGTTTGGTTATTAAGATTCTCAATTAAAAAATTTAAACTACTAGATAATATCTCAAAATATGATTTATATATTTTTTTAACAATTTTACACCATTATGACCACCCAACCCCCCCCCCAATTTCCACTTTATTGATTAAAAGTGAGTATGAGCTAAATATAATTACACAAATAATAACAAATCAATATAGGTTTTTTTTTTTTTTGTCTTTCTAAATATAATTGATTGAACAACTTTACTTATAAAAATTAACCTTCCTTAGACCTTTATCGCATGTACTAAAATTGGTTGATTTTTATCGGATGAATATGAATTGCATAACGGACTGAAAGATTTACAAAATAAGGAAAAAGAATTTGGCAAAAATACATTCAAGCTTCTGGCATTTGAAAACAAGGTAAGTCATTGTAGAATTTGTGTGAAACAAAATAGGAAAAACAGAATAGTATAATAAATAAATCAACACGAGCGTTATTGTATCTAAGTAGGACCACAAGGGCTCCATTTGGCAACAGGAACCATCTGTGGCGGTCTAACTAGGTCCCACGTAGACTCAATTCCAGGGCCACCAACCATTTGCTATTTAAGGAAGACCACCGCCCCCCTCACCCCACATTCAGAGCTATTAGTTTTTGGTATAAGAGTAATTTCTTTGAAATAAACGGGCTATCTTCAGTTTTATAGTTTATTTATCAAATAAAATAAAATAAAAACTGGGTGGTGGAATTTAGGAATGTTGAACACGTGGTTGGGTTTGTTAGCAACCAGCCAAAGAATCATTTGTTTTTGCCCCTTTCTAAGAGTTCGGTAGAGTACATCCAAGAAACTATTGGCTGCGTCTTACATGCAAAAGCGCTCACGCTTTTTATGAGGAGAGGATCCTTTTGAAAACTAATTAAGTACAGGGACTGGAGCATGGAACATATCAAATCCTCTTTTCCAAGGGCAATTAAGTCATTTAAGAGTAGAAGCTGTTTTCTTTTTCTTTTTTTTTCTTTTTAATTATTAGAGTGGAAATACATAACCTACGAGTCAATTTATATTACTAGGGAAAATGTAAATTTGCATTTTGCAAATTATATTCCATCAACGTAATGAGATCTCTTTAATTTACTTTTTAGTAGATTATGATCTCCTGTTTTCTAATATATATATTGTGATAGATTACGATCTCATCTTTTTCTTTAAATCAAATTTATGATATCTTTTTTTTAATAGTATCAAAAAATATAAACTCTTATAAATAAAAATACTAATCTATCTCCTTATAAATTTTGTCAATTCATTACCTCATTGTTTTAGCTCAAAATGTTGTCCGTTTCTCAATCTTGCACATCTTATGTCATAACATTTTTACATCTTATTTTTTCCTACATTGAAATCAATAAAAAGACATAACATATATGTATTGAAAGAAAAAAAAAGTTTAAGAATATTGTGTGAAATATTATAATTAATATAAATTGTTAACCAACAATTACAAGCTCTAATTATACTTTTTTGTTTGTCCCTTGTATTGTTACCTATAAGTACGAGCAATATTGATCATTAAAGATTACAGTAATATCTGACTGATGGAGCATAAAAGCATTGAGCATTTCTTCAAATTTATTTATTATATTCACATATTCTTCAAAGTCTCATATGCACTTGTGTGATTTTTTTTCCAAATAATGTAATTATCTAGAATCAAGTTAATAATATATTTGTGGGATAAGTTGAGAGAAAATAATTTCACAAGTTCATGAATTTTTTCACCAAATCTTATGATTCAAATTATTTACTAAATAATAACAATTTATAATGATACCTTTTTTGTCGCATTTTAGTATGATAGTTTTATAACGACAAAATGATTCGTTGTTCATTAGAAATTATAGTATTATCACACGTTTTATTTAGATAATTTTATAACGACATAATGATCGCCGTTCTTTCATAAATTATAGTGTTACCACAAATGTTGTTTGATCGTTTTATAATGAAAAAATGATCGTTGTTCTTTTATAAATTATAGTATTATCACGCGTGTTGTTTGATCGTTTTATAACGACAAAGTGATTGTTATTCATTTATAAATTATAGTATTATCGCACGTGTTGTTTGATCGTTTTATAACGACAAAATAGCGTTATTTGTTAGAAATTACAATATCACGTGTTATTTGATTATTTTATAATGATAAAATGATCATTATTCATTATGATCCATGATTTTTGTAATAAAAAGTTAACATTGCTCATTAAAGATTATATTCACAATAATGCTTCTACAGCTTATTTTCAATTCCTACAAAATTAATCTTCTAACATGTTAAAAGGGAATGCATGATTTTTTTATTTTTTTATATTCAAACGTATATTACATATATTGTATCAAAGAGAACTTAGAAATTCAACTGCAATTCAATTAACATTAGTGTTTTTTTTTAAATAGAGTTTGAATTTCTCTTTTATTAAAACAAAAAAAAAAACAAAATTAAGAAAGAAAAAAGAATAAAAAGAAAGAAGAAGAATAAGAATAGTTCCACCTAAATACCTAATACATTAATAAGTTCAAATTTACTTATCTATTTTTTTTCTAGAATGACTGATTTTTTTTAATTTTTACTTCTTCAAGTTTGTTATTTTCCATAATCACAGACATTTTTTTATCGAGTATTCTCTTAGTTCTCATTCCATATATGAATGTGAATTTATATTTGGAATTAAAATTATTTAAATTCAATTATGCATGTGTATTGGATGAATATTGGAAGAAAGAGATGTTGAATTTCTGTAGAATATTATTATATCAAAAGTTGGGCACAGTTCTGAATTAATTTACTTTTAACTCCAAAATAGATCCCAATTACCCTAATTTACAAAGAGTTCTGAGTTTTAAATCTGTTATAGTTTCCAAAACTACAACATTAAACGGAAAAAAGAAAAAAATGGATGAATACGAAATTTGAAGTTGGCAAAACACCTGTCAAGTACCTAGCCTGTCCTATTCCTATAAATGTACCCCAAAGAGGACTCGGTCTTGCATCACTACTCATCAAATAAGCTACTCCCTTTCCTTTTAGTCTTCTTTTGTCCAGAAATGGCTAGATTTAGGTTCACCGTCAATGAGAAGAGGAGCATGGGAGCTGCAAGAGCTCAGCAACAGGAGCAGCAGCAACAGGGGGAACAACAGCAGCAGCAAGTGCACAGCGAATCCGATAACAATACGGATTTGAACCGCCCTATGATTCCTCCTGTCCTTGCGTTGCCTGCCTTTCAACCCAGAAACTGGTACTCTATATATAAATGAAATGAATCTACCAAATTTTACCTTAAATAAAACTGACTTAAATTGTTGTGAACTAGCTAGCTAGAGTACCTTTTCTTAATTATATATCTGCGTAACTTTCAGGTCTGGGAATGGTGTGACTCGCCCGGCGACCTGGTAAAACCTCTTTCCAATTGTAAGATTATTGTCATATATATTCACACACACGCACACATGCATTTTCAACAATCAAAACTTTTGTGAGTTACTAACCCCAAGAATCTAATGACATGCAGCGAAGATAATATAGATGAGTTACAAGAGGTGATGTATATACAATTCTCTCTGTCTTTATTGCGTGAGTGTTTTTCATTTTCTTAATGGTTTCCATGCCTATATATAAACAGGAAAGGAACCGACTCATTCAGCGATATGCTGGGGGGAGTTACAATTTCTGATTGACTGGTTATTTCTCTAATCCTCGATCCCTCGTACTCTATGTTTATATATGATTGGATATTTCATTACTAGTGGTTAATTACCCATTTCTAATTATATATATTGCTTCTTCTGCATGTACTGGATTCTTTATTATATTTGGCATTAAATATTGCAACCATAGGTTTGAGGTATGCTTGATATTAATTTACAGAATTTTGTTAATATTAGTGTAGAGAAGTTTAATTTGTTTTAATTAGTAGATCCTCCCCCTTTTCACTATATGTATGATAACACATATGTAAATTCTTTTATATTTGCAGCACATCCATAGGGATCTTGAGGAAATAAGGCGTGAGCTGGACTCTGTCGAAGTGGAACTCAGGTAGATATCCTTCCTGCTCTATGAACCTTGATTAACTTACATTGCATCTTTAGTTTCTCCCTGTCAGCGGGCTCAAGTTAACGTATTTCTTGGATGAGAGTTATTTTTTTCATCAATATTCCCAAAAATTTTGAAGAGACATGAAAAAGGAAAAGAAAAAAAAAGGAAGAAAGAAAATGGAAAATGCTAAAAAATGAGAGTTGCTTTTTTCGCCAATTTACCTACTTAGTCTTTCTTTCGCATTTTAAAATGATAAAATAAAATACATTCAGTGAAGCAGATTCCCTTAGTTAAGTCCAGACAGCAAAGCAGCAGGTCCAAATGAAGACAACGTGGTGATTGAGTTTTAACATTTGAAACGTAAAAATAAACTTTCAAATGGACTCAGAAAAGGAAAGGAAGAGGCACACTGTTATCCCACATATCATCAACAAATGTAACAGAAAATAAAAATGACATGTCAAGAGTACGTAGCACACGTGGTCCAGAGTTGCAAGGTTATCATGGCTAGATGCCGGTTATGTTCTTACCAACCAGTTCTGCCTGACGGTTTTTTTCTTGCAGCCGAAAGCCATCTCCGTAATGAGAAGTACTGGGAGGCGATATGACATAAAGGAGGAGGAGAGATCCTGTCAAATCTCAGTCATATTGCCTTGTGCTTTAGTTGGAAAGCATGGTAATCTAAGTTTGTTTGGTGTCGTTTTAGTTCGAGTCTGTGCTTCGTCCGTTCTAGCTTGAGTCCGTGCTTCATCTTGGGTCAATGTATGCTATGTTTCTGGTGGAATATGGCCAAATAAAGTCTAGTTTATTTTTCAGTGGAGCTCTTGTCTTTTCGGTGTTTATACTCTTTAGTATGTGCCAGATCCAGTTCTGCATGCCATGTTTGAACTAGGATGTGGTTCAATAAAAAATCAGATTTCATTGATATCTGGCTCTAGAATGCCACAGCGTTTCATGGAACAAATGACACTGGTATTGATGCTAGGATCTATACCAACCAATTAATTGAACAGTTTTCCATTTACATAAACCCAGTTGGCATAATAAAACTCTCTCTGTCACAAAACGAGTTGGTATAATAAAACTTTCGCTGTCTCAAATTAAACAATTGTGTTTCTTTTTACATAAACCCAGTTGGTATAATAATGTTTTTTTTTAATTAATTAATTTATTTTTTAATTTATATCTATTTCAAAATATTTGTTTGATTAAAGTTTTTTAATAATGTATTTTTTAAAAAATACTTATTTTGTAATGTAGAATTAAAATAGATAGATTTTGTTCTTAAAAAAAATATATTAAAAAATACTATATGATATTATAATTAATAAGTTTTTTAAGTATATAAAAAGTCAAATGAAACTATCACTGTATTTCATCTACCAGTCGCTACAAAAAATACTTTCATATTTCTACTCATATTCTACCAACACCCAAGCTAGGGTAATAGTGTGAATAACTCGGGCAGAAGAACACCCATCCAGGCCAACGCTGCCTCCTTCACAAGAAGTTTAACTGGCAATGAAACGCATCGATAGGTGTAAAATCCTGAAATGAAAAGGCTTCTTCAGGCTAAATCACTCGAAACAAAGCCATTACCGAACACAAGCGCCAAAAAAAAAAATCGAAGTTATGATTTCCTGGAAGCTGTCTTAGTATAGCTATAACAGGTAAATCTTCCAAATCCGTTTTATAAAATTTCTTTAGTGGCATGGGAATGCAAATGCAAGCTTCAAGATTTTATCTTTCAGTAGCACACGGGCAATAAGAATAGAGGTGGGTGAGTGAGTCAGTATTGAGGCAGCATGGGAAGGGTCGCACTGGAGACGAGGGAGAGAAACCAGGCTCAAATTTTGTTAAGTGGTCACCCAAAAAAATAAAATAAATGAATAAAAAAAAATACAAGGAGGGGGTGGGTGGGTGGGGCGGTGGACAGCCCAGCCCACGCTAGGCCGTGCGTTAGGCCTGGGGGCTGTCCAGCCCAAATGCCAATAAAAAAAAAAAACTTTTAATCTTAAACCCACCAAGGTAACATTATAAATAGATCCTATCCTACCCACACTTAGACAGACATACTGGCACTTAGAAGGAAAAAAAAAAAGCAAGAGACAGTAGCCGAAAGAAGCTAACGTCGGTTCCAACCAGTTGATTTCCAACCAACATGCGTCAGCCTTTCCAGATTGTTTGATGGAGATGATTCCAGCGCCGCAAAAACTGCTCACTTTCGACAACGAAGCATCCGTCACGCGCGGCCTAAAGTTCCGTCATTGCTGCTATTCACATATCCAATTTGGTCCCCGAATTACTAATTTAAGTAATTACATCCCTGTACTTTTACGTTTGTGATTTAATTTTCATCTGAATTTTATGGTTTTGCATGATTGTTTATCTGTTTCATAAGAATGTCAATTATGTGTTTGAAAATGAATATTTTGATGATTATTAAATACAAAATATTTAGTTACGAGTGTAATTGAAAGATTTAAACTTGAATATTTGGTTATATTTGACGAATAAAAAAGAATCTAAATTCAAGTTTCTTTATCATGTGATGTATTTTAATATTTGATCAAATTAGAAATAGGGGATTAGTGAATTTTTTTAATTTTTAATCTTGTCTTGTTTTTGTTTTATTCTTTTTTTCTTTTCATTGTTTTTAATAAAAAAAAAAAATTGTTTGACATATTATATAGCATATTTATTTTTTATATAGTAAGTCCATGAGGAACTGTTGATCGATGATGAAACTAACAATAAGTTACGAATTTTTTTTAAAAAAATTAAAACAAGTCAAATTTGAATTAATATGCCAATGATCTTATGGAGACCTATTGGCTATTTGATATTCCACTTTGTCATCTTACGTGATTTGTAGCTTTTACATATTAATATGTCTTTGCACTTTATGTGTTTATTTTGTATGATGCCAATCTAAATCGGTTCGGATGAAGTAGGTTTAGAATCCGAGACCAACTTGATTTCAATGACGAGTTTTTTTCTTATCATTTATTTTCATTGCTATTGTTTATAGTTGATTTTAATTTATTTTTATGATGTTATTAATTTCTTCTTCTCTCAAATTTAGTTTTGAATTTGAAATTTGAAATTCAATTTAATATGTTAAAGTGACATGACAAGGTGATATAAGCTTGAGACCCATGCTCATTTTTTAGTTATTTTTTATTTCATGGTTTGGTAGGTGACTTTGGGCCTATGGCTTATGTTCATTTTATTTTTATTTTTGCATTTTTATGGAATTAGAATTTAACTGGCAATGGACCTTAAGCCTTAATTTTTACCTTCTCAAATGAGCTCTAAAGACCCAATGATATTTTAAGTGAGAGACTGAGTTTATTTCTAGTCTTCAAATCATCTTTCTTAGGACTAGTTAGAAAAGACTCAAATAATCGAACATATAAATAGAAAAAAAGAAGAAGATAATTTGCTTAAATGAATTTCTCTAAACTAAAAATCCAAGATAACATAATTGCACTAATACACTAGGGTGACTATAATCTTCTCCAGTTGTATAATCAACCCTCTTACTTACAATTCTTAAAACTAGTGCTAAGTTTTATCTTAGTTTCTACCTTTTCAAAAACTGAGATGCGACTTCAAACCTACACGTTTTTATTTTTTGTGATCGTCCAGAAGTCATTGTGTGATAGAATATGAAAACTGAGTGACAACTCCACACTTATAAGCTTTTAGTTTTTGCGATTGTCGAGAGATCCCTGTCTGACAAGGGGCAAAGAGGCTAAGCAGAAAGTAGGCAGAGTAATTAGTGGGGGAGAAGCTGCCCTAAAACCATTTTGCTATATTTGCAAGCTGTCCCCAAAGTTACTTGTACAAGAAATGGTGCAACTGTTAAAGTTAGCCTCAGCCAGATGAATGAAAAACATTGGCCATCTTGCAGGGAACCACTATCAAAAGAAAAAAAGAAAACACTCTTTGGAACAACAATAAATTTAAGTCACCACTTACTTATGTGCAGTAATGCATATCAAAGCATAATGCTAACGTCATGAAGCGCCAAGAAGTGTTTAAAAACCCAATTGACAATAAGGGTATAATTGAGCGCTGGTGTAAAGTACATGTAAAATACGATGTTAACATGTCCTTTACACCAGTTACTCTATTAAGATATAAACTATATCACTGAATGCCAGCAAAATATTTTGCGGAATTTGCAAAATAGGTCATCACTTCCTTGTATCATTCATAGATTTCTAGGAGCAGAACAAACATTGCTCTTGTCATACATTAATCCCATTGTTCTTTCTTTATACCACAACTACCAAATCATAATACGAGCTAGTAGCAGACTTTAAAAGACAATCGACATCATTGGGCATTCTAAATGCACCATAAGTTTTCATTAAAGCAAGGTCAACAGGACATAGAGCACAATGCCTTAAGATATTCTTTCAGGCATGAAATGAATGATTCTGTATATGTTTATGTGTTCTTGAACCAAAAGCCAAACCTCAATACTGATTGTTATCAAAAGCCCAAGGTTCATGCACGAAAAGTTCACGCCCATTCATTTGTACTGTTCCAGCAGCTATATATTCTGCACGTTTCCTAGCATCTTCAGCTTTTTTAGCTGAGGAATCTGCATCCTGAAAAAAGACCAATACATATTGCCACAATTATAAAAGAAAAAGGTAAATAAACTAGCCTAACAGCAGCAGAGCCTTCATCATGTCTCTAAACTTGTTATTAGCTTCGTAACAGTTCAAGTTGCTGGGATTATGCAAATACCCTCTACTTAACAGTAAGTTGTTATAATGCCTTGAGAAGGCTCTCAGTTGCCTTCACTAGTAACAACCAGCAGGCTAAAATTTTTAGTTTCATATTGGTGTCTGATTCCTAACAGATTCCTTGTGCCAACTGCTACCAAAAATAAAACACGCAACATGGGTACCAACTCTTGTCACTAACAGTTAAATGCATTACCCCAAAATCCCTGCCTCAGTTCTTTATTCCTTCTTGAAGATAACTTTGACCAAATCAATATATGGCCGATAGGATAAAAAGGATTGGGAACTGCCATCAATGGCCAAGTACATTAAACCCTCAACAAATTACAGATACCTGGATTATAACTGAAACATTCTTATGGTTCAAAGAAGATAGCAAGAGTTAGCAGATTGGGTTTGCCTATTGATAACTTTCGTAATACTGTAATTAAGCGGAAGAACGAAATAGAAGAAGCACATTACCGCTCAGTAACACTGTATTTCGTAAATAGCCTTTAAAATGAATTTCATACAAAAAAGCTAACAGCAATTCCCTATTATAATTCTCAAGACAAAGGCCAACCTGTTTTGAAAAAAAAAAAACTCAATATTTCTAGCGGCGCACTGATTTGACATGACACACATACACCAAACTCAACAATAATGGATGAAAATTTTGGTATATATTAACATATTTAAAACTCAATATAGCTTAATTATCAGTTATGAATTCAAGGACAATTGGTTTGATATCACTATATGTGGATTTGAGAAAGAAACCCTAGAAAGTAGAGAGACGGAGAGAATGAAATAAAAGAAAAGCACCTTTTGGCGTTTCCAGAGGAGGAACTGGGCCTGTGTTATGGGATTAGACCTTGGCGTCTCGCTTGCTTGCTTCTCTTCTTCTGCACCCATTTTCTTTGATTTCTCTTCTTTCTTGGTTCCAATCAAAACTTTGTTCGCCCTCTTTCAACGGAGACGACAAGCAATTGTTTT